TGAGCGGGAGTTCGCGGGTTCAAACCCCGGCTGGGGCAACACTCAGGAGACGTCTGCACGCAGGCAAACACTCAGGGTCTTTATATAACTGAGAAGAAAGTGCATCAGAAACACGTGTGAAGGCAAAACCACAACGACAAACCAGTGAGAGTCCACTGGATCTTTAGTAGACCTGGATCAGTAAAATCTTGAGTACCAAATTTTAAACTTTTAAGTACTGTTTTAAAAAACAGTAAATTGATATGATCCTTACGGCAGGAAGAGAAATAGAAAAAATAAAGAAAGAATACAAAAATAAAGTGGTGAATTATATTTGCCCAATATTTCAGTTTGCAACACCAACCTTCAACGGGGGCTGTGAAAGAAAAATAAATGATTAGCCCCAGTTGAAGGTTTGTGTTACAAACCGAAATATCGGGCAAATATAATTCACCACTTTATATTTGCTTTCTTTCTTTATTTTTTCTATCACTCTTCCTACCGTAAGGATCAGTTCACTGTTTTAGAGAAGAAAGGGCTGCCTTTGTAATAACATCTGCAAACGGTTAGACTTTCTAGTCTTCTCGGATAAGGACGAAAAACCGTAGGTCCCGTCTCACAGCACTTTCACTTATCTGGTTCTTGAGGGACGTAAAAGAACCCGCCCCACAGTTCGAAAAAAGCAGGGGACGTAGACCCTGGTGGTGTGGCCAACCTTTCAAGGGCTAGGTGGGTTATCTGTAAAGAGACATCTTTTATAGAGATAACCTCATGATCCTCCTTTCGGTGTTGTTATAGCTACCTGTAAACAGTGTACGTAAGAGGCGCAATTTTTCGCGTTCTTCGCGCGAACAATATCTGTCTTCTGTCTGGATGGGTTTAAACGGCTGAAAAACGACCTAGTGACTGAGAGAATAGCTCACCAAATAAAGTTCCCCAAACCACATTCTTTCACGCACATGATCATAATATTGTTATTTAGATGGTAAGATGATAAAGTTGTTATGATATTGGAGCATGCGACTTTCAGAGAAAAATGATCTTGAAGCAGTGCCGTATTACATGAAAATGTTTGGCTTCAGGGGAGGGGGGTGACCCGCTGTAAAAATGACGATGGTGGCGTCGGAATCGAAACAACCGAAAAGGTACAAGAATCTACAGTAGACTCTCGATAACTCGAACCCTCGCTAACTCGAACCTCGCGCTAACACGAACCAAAGCCTATTTCCGCTGGATTTCCTTCATACTTTTACTGTAATTTTACCATCGGTAACTCGAACTTCCGCTAACTCGAAGTAATTTTTCTCGGATCATTTCTACAGTATTTTACCCTCGATAACTCGAACCATGTTTTAAGGTCTTGAAAAGATCGGAAAAAACAGTGTACTAGCGTCCGAAACATTGAACCTTGACCGTGTTGTAGGAATATTACTAGTGGAAGCTTATGTTGTTTGTCACAAATCTAACACGAAACAGCTTTACTTCTCAAAACAGTAAAATATAAATGCTTGCTCTATTTAGGCTATGTTTTCGAAACGTTTTGTTCCGTTACGTTCTGATTTATAATCTAGAAGTATCTTTTAATTTTCATTTCACAGGGGCACCCAACGGCAATTTTCGGGAAAATATCCGTTCGGAAGACGATTTGAGATCTAGAATTTTCGGAGCATTTGTTGTAAAATTTCTTGCTTGCCTGCCTCTCCTAGGATTTTCGAACATCTACAAAATGGTATAATTACTCATTTTTAACGGAATTTTCGGGAGCCTTTTCCTGGCTTTTTCGAACCTAACAAAAGGCTGTTCGGAAGACGATTTGAGAACTTTTTTCGGAATATTTGTTGTGAAATTTCTTGCTTTTCCCTGGCTCTACAAAATGGAATAATTTTTTTTAACCGATATTTACCCTAAAAAGTTTTTCGGGATCCCTATAAATTTTCGGATCACCTAGATTTTTCGGATCACTAGACTTTCAGCTAGGAAATCCGAACAGATGAAAAGTTTTTAGCGGATAAAAATATGCCTATATCTACCGTCTAAATACTAAAATACGTTCAACAATGCTATGTTAAGTGGTTTTGAACTATATCCTCGTTGGGTGCCCCTGGTTTTTATCCCTATAATTTTCGGATCACTAGATTTTCAGCTAGGAAATCCGAACAGATGAAAAGTTTTTAGGGGATAAAAATATCCCTATATCTACCGTTTGAATACTAAAATACATTCAAGAATGCTATGTTAAGTGCTTTTGAACTATATCCTCGTTGGGTGCCCCTGATTTCACATTTTTTACAATTAAATGTGATTAAAATGTTCTCGTAAAAAATGTTTTTTTCCTTCTTTCCGGCTGTATTTTCTTTGAGCTCCCGATAACTCAAACTTTTTTCGAGTTCCCTTGAAGGTTCGAGTTATCGGGAGTCGACTGTACTTTTATAGGAGGAGGAGAGGCTCAACCTAATCTCCCATAAGAGGAACCTTCGCGGTACCAATTCAAAAATAATACCACAGTATAGTCAGTATGGGCAAATCGACCCGACGAGCTCCCCGTTAATTTTTACGGGGGGTCCCCCAGGGGTTTGGCTTTCGTGCAAACTCCACATTCTGAACAGATTTTAATTCTTGACATAATTGACCCTGGGTATGATAAATTTGCATAGAAGCATTTAATTTTAAAAACTTTTCAAAAGGCAATAAATCTTCCTCTTTTATATATATAAATTTTTGGAGGGGTTCAATTACAAGTGCTAAAAATGAAAGCAGGAAGAACATAGCAAGAGCACACGTCAAATATGCATCCTGTCGGCCTTTTCCTGTTTCATCTAAAACAAGGCGGGGGAATGAAAGAGTCTGGTTGCGCCGATATAAATGAATCATCAACAAGGAAGACTCTATTAGAAAAGTGCAAAATCTACGACCCAAAGGCGAAGTTAATTTGTCCTTACAATTTGAATGTAGTCATTTCCACCTGCAGCTTTACAAAACGGAGTGTTATTACTGTATAAATATAAAACGAACCAGTTATCTTTTGTTCTTGTCTCGAATTAAAGAACACATTAATATTGATATTTTCGTGAGGTTGAACCGACACAAACCGGATTTATGGAAAACGTGTAAGAAAATGTTCTAGCAGGAGGCCTCACGAGCAATCATACGTCAATGAGAAATACGGCTGAAACTAGCAGTAGAGTACTTGACACAGTCGATACATCCGAACAATCGATCACACTACGATTTCCTTAAGATGGAGGATCGCATCACATACGTGATACACGAGCGTTAATTACCCGCTTGAATAACTTACTTGAATGAAATCTCGCTTTATAACAACCTCACGTAGCCAGGCAATCCAACACGACAGAAGATTCCTTTTCCCTTCACAGACAATTTTTGGAGTATGCAGTAAGGAAACTAGGCAGAAGCCATGAGCGAGGATCTCTCGGAATGTGTATCCGTTGGTGTTATGGCTGTAAGTAATTTCCTCGTGTGCCCTGGGTTCAAGTATTCAAAGTAGTCTGGGCGAAGGATAAATTTCGAGGACACGCGGGCACGCGTGTTTCCCTCGCGGGTTCTATGAAAACTAACCAAATAAACTAACCGGCACCAGTCACACAGGCTACTAGGTTCAAGGCAGAGTTCAAGTGATGCTCCAGTTTAATTTCCAGGCCAGGCGTTTCTTTCTTCGATAAGTCACCTTTTTGATGACGCTGCGATGGATCCAACGGGAAGGTACAGGGCGTCTGATCTCCAATCGCGATCCAAAGACCGATAAAGCCGGTATAGGATCATTTTTGGAAATGTACGAAACTCTTTCTTTTTTTTCCACTGAAGTTTCGCACGCAAGGGCTACGTTTTTTAAGTTTGATGGCAAGTTTGTGTTATGGCGAGTTGTGTGGAGGCCCGAGGGGTACTCCCTCATATAAAGCCAAATAATAGGTATGTGCAGGCAAAATCCTTGTTTTCAGATTCTGAATGCCTCAAAGAGTGCCAGAAGCAGTTGCGGTCTCTTTATCAAACCAAAAACAGAGTCAAAATCGTTCCTTGGAACCAAATAAATGCCGTTCACATTGATGAGATCTACACAGACTTGTCTTGGGTTATGGATCACAGGACACCCAAGGGAGTGACAAAAAAAGAACTTAACCACTGGTATGTGCCGCCCCAAAGGGTAGGGTTTTTGGGCCGTTTCGGTCCGGAAAACGGGTATAGATTTTGCACATTTTGGTCTGGAATCGGGTATAGTTTTCGAGGGACGTACGGGAGTGCATGAACGTATTTGTCGTTTCCTGATTCCAAATGAATAGGAAAAAAGATAATATGAGAATTCGAGATTGGTCGTTTTAAGAAATTTTTTTGTTCGCGTTCTGATATCAGTAACTGAAAACGGAGGGAGTTTAAAGGTAAGGTCTTAAAACGACATTTTTTGGCCCGAAATAGGGTCAGGATTTGAAGAATCGGGCAGCAAACTGGGCACACCCCCACCTGAGAATACCAAGGAGTACCCCCCGGAGTTGAGGAAGCAAGGACTGGACGTAAACAGTCCTGGCGCTGGCGTAATCTAAAATGCTGATCGTGCTACGTAAGGAGCGCTGGTCGTCAACGTTGGATATCTATCAGACAAAAAAAATTGTAAAAGAAATGATAAGCCCAAACGAACTGTAGCCTGATTGCAGACGCCCCCTTCCCTAAAAATCGTTTTTTAAGGGGGGCGCGGGGGCATTTGTACACGGGCTCGGGGAGGGGGTGCTTGTACGGGGCTTCTGTATGAAAGACCCTGAGGTAGGAAGGCCGAAAAGAAATATATATTCCCGACTGTAAATTTTGTTTCAGCGGGCTAAAAGAACTACTATATTTTTCAACGTCGTTGTTAATAATGCGCGAGGTCTGTGTTACATATAAAGATAAATTTACGAAAATCGTCTCGTCCCCAGGGTCTTCTCTTTTTCAAGATGCAGGGTGATTTGTGGGATAGGGAAAGTCCCTGACATATCAATGCAAACGGAAGAATCGTAGAGCCAGGAGGAGCAATGGAGGTCGGGCTGAGAGTGAATCGTGTCGCGATTCTTAGAGATTTGGAACCTAAGAAACACTGGAATTACCTGATTCAAGAAGGGGTTCTTGATTATGACGATCTGGATGACCTTAAAGCCGAGAAAACAAGGAAAGCCCGAGCTGAACTTCTTTTAGGAAAGGTGTTACTTGCGGGAGCACGAAAAATTGATATATTTGTGATGTCTTTGAGCATTTATCAGCCACATTTGCACGAGTTACTTCAGAGAGACTTACCAGAAACCCTACAAAGACAACAAGGTAATTATATCGAGTCTGGCAACTGTACTGAAGTCGTTTTCGTGAAGGGTTCATGTTTTGAAGTGTTTATTAAGGTTCAGTTGGAACTACACGTACTGCATTTGTAGTTTAATCTTCAGTAAAACCTTAAATAAAAGGTCCCTTAAGTCTTTCGAACTCAAGGATATTAGATTCCATTTTTATTTTAACTCGAAGGTTTAAATGGAGGTATAGCCAATTTCCTTTCCAATGGGGCATGATGTTTCCATTTTCCTGTTAACATCCCCACCCGTGCCAAAATCGCTAAGGATTCCCCCATCATATGAAATGTTCACAAAAACCTGTAACAAACAGGCACCTACTGTAGCTCAGAAATACTAAGCTACAATAGTAACTGGGAAGTGTGAAGATGAAAACCATTTTAAGGTTTAAAATTTGTGTTGTTAAAATTGATTTCATTTTCACTTCTTTAATATTTATCTACCAGCTATTTCTTTGTTAATAAAAGGGTTCGAAATTGCGACTGTCGCCAATGCGACTAACATTTTCTCCTTGACGACTAAAAATTATGGCTTAGTTGCCACTTTGACGACCAGATTTCTCGATGATTTAGGTTTAAATTAAAAGAGTAAAATTAAAACAAACATTCCATCTTATCTTGCTTTGCTTTGCACCATGAAAAATGTGTCAATTCGCATAAACAAAGCCAGTTTACCGGCAAATTTATACTGACTTCTGTCTGCGATATTTTCAAACAACCAAATCTGATGGATCGCACCATACTACAGCACTTCTGATAGGACGCAGAAGTCTGATTTCGCAGGATTTTCAGAAACAGATTCTTGAAAATTTTCTGGGCTAACTTCACCAAAAAACAATCAATAAAAAAAAGCCGATTTTGTGGGAATTTTCTGGGTAAATTTCACTTGAAGTCGGCTGATTTTGTGCTGATTTGACGAGCGTGTTTAATGTTTTTAACAGAAATAATCATTTGCTGTTTTAACAACAAAGCGCTCAAGAAATGAGCCAATGGCAAAGCTTTTAACATCATGACTAGTGGTAGTTTTGGGATGTTGTTTGCTCGTTGTGGTGATGAAGTTTCAAGATAAATTTGCAAGTTTACAGCAATTAAACAGTCCCAATAGCCAAGACAAGTTTCAGTTATGTTGGCATGTATTTGATAAGATTTCTGGCGAATTTTGTGATATTTCGCGGGTTGATATTAATTTCGTGGCTCCGCGACCGTGCTAAATATCGGAAGCAAGCCCTGATACTATGATTTGTGTCGTTTACATTATACAAACTGGCTACTAAAAATTTGCATCTGGTGACTAAATTTCTCCAGTTGGTCGCCAAGAGGCGACCTGAGGATTGTTTTCATTTTGAGCTTTGAATAATTGTGATTTTCATACCCATATTTACCTAAATTTCCAAAAAATGCAACAACTTCCAAACAGTTCTGAAGATGTTCCAAAGACTTGCAAACTTCACGAAAGATTTGCTGTAATGTTCACATGATTTCCAAAGGTTACCGAATCTACAACGCAGGTTGCCAAATCTTTGCGCCATCTTGCTGAGATCAAGTTGTGCAGGTAAAAAACTGACCGGTATACATGGTATCACTGTTTTCCATTAGCAGGCATGTGGCATGGTCGACTACTCCTCAATGTATGCGAAAGACCAGTTTTTAAATTTAGACTAGGGTCAACTAAACCCCTCTAAAAGAGCCTCAGTATAATACCATATTAAGTCTGGAAAAAGCTTACATGCATGTTACTAAAGCTTTATAAAATTTGTGGAAATTGAAATTCTGTCCATTTTAAAACAAAAATAATGAAAAAGATAATAATTATCTTTTATTATTGTTTCGATTATTATTCTACTATACAATGAAGTGTTTCTATGAATTTAGTCCTTCCATAACAGACTTACTATACATGTCTTTTGACTCACAAGAATCCCTCCTTAATGCTTGAACAATCTAAGGGTATGATTATGATATCAGCTTTGTTAAAATCAATGCATCAACTTTATAAAAATTATAGTATTATTTTGCCAAGGCAAAGAAGCAGTAAGTTATTCCGTAACCACCTTACACATCTGCACACAGGTAAGGTACAGCTTCAAAAGTTAATTTTACATAAAGATTTTATGCATGAGAAGATTTTGGGCTTGGCTGTCTTTAAGGTTGGATAAGAGCTAGTATGTTGAATGTGTAAGCAATGGTTTTGTAACAAACATTAAAGCAAAATTTTTTATTTTTTTGTCTTTTAGGCTCTACTCAAGCAGCTGTAGAAAATGTTACACGGCACATGACTGGCTTGCATGTACATGCCCAACCTCGTCCTTTTGTTCGCGAAGGTAGAATTGTAGTTACTGAATAATTTCTTTGTGCCCCAACATGCTTGTATTTAAGGTCTTTGCTCTAACTGTCAACAGACAGTAAAACCAACAGCAGATTGGTTTTCCTTAGCCTGTGTAGCAAGGATTTCCTTGTAGTTTTGGAGGATAGAAAGACCTCCGCATCCCTCCTCTTTTAATCTCCCAAACCACATTGAAACACCTTCTTTGCAGGCAAGGTTTCCTCAAACATTCCCATAATTTTAAATGTTACCGGTTAAACTGGGGAAGTTTGTTTGGTTCACAAAAGCCATGCATTGTGATGCGAATTAAACATAAGTGTTGCAAAAAAATCCTTTATGTACGCTGTATACAGTTACTTATTTTAATAAGTAACTGTATACAGCGTACATAAAGGATTTTTTTGCAACACTTAAAAGTGTCTCATTAATATACCAGCTATAAATTATGTTGTTATATGACTGTGATTGGTGATCATTGACTGACAATAATGTGATACCAAGGACACATAGTACAATTCAACTAAAGAAGACAGCAGTAGCAGTCAAAACAAAGGGATAACACCAGGAAATTAGTCAGAAAAATGTTATTATTATAACTTAATATTATCAAGTTTGCATGAAAAAGATTTGAAGGTGGTCGAGGGTTGATTCTGGAAAACTTTGTGTACCTACAGAAGCTTTTTAGCTATGCACGTTATACAGTAATAAAATAATATTTTTTACCATGAATTACTTCATACATGTGCATCAATGATCATTTTCTTTTTTTTTTTTTAAGCACTCAGCCCAGTGGAGCATGAAGGTGGTGAAAATCCACTCACTGCAAATGTGGAAACCAGTAAAATATCAGATCAACAATCAAGGCACACAACACAACTACCACCAGATGAAGAACAATTCTTTTTTGTGATTCCAACAGATTTGCGTAAGCTCCCAGCACACATTCATCCCAATAACACTGAAGAGGTCTACCCCATGTCATCAAAGCCACGAGGAATTGCGCTAATTATTAATGTTGAAATTTTTGTCCCCAGTCCTGAAAAGACCAAGAAGGAGGAGGAGAAAGAACAGTTAGATAATCGTCAAGGGTCAGCTAAAGATATTGAAATGCTGGTAAAGTTGTTTGGAGCACTTGATTTTAAAGTTGAAATTAAGAGAAATCCAAAAAAAAAAGAAATTATTGAGGTTTTGGATAACATCTCCAATGAAGATCACAGTAGCTATGACTGTTTTGTGTTGTGCCTAATGAGTCATGGCTTAGAGGGGTTTGTCTATGGTGCAGATGGAGAAAAAGTCCTTCTAGAAGATGTATGTGGTTTTTTTAGCAATTCAAGGTGTAGAACTCTAAAAGGAAAACCAAAACTCTTTGTTATTCAAGCTTGTAGGGGACGTGACAAAGATAAGGGTGTAGTGAGGGATTCACCTGGTAGCCCTGAAACTTTACCGGGTAACCCTGTGACAGAAGCGGCCATTAGCAGCGGCAGTGCTGATGGTGAGGATGAGGTTGCTGACCGAGGGTTCCATTTTTCAATTCCACAAATTATCCCTGACCAAGCTGATGTGCTTATGGCATATTCAACTGTCAGCGGCTATGCTTCATTTAGAAACCCACGTGACGGAAGCCGTTTTGTCCGTTGCCTTGTAGAAGTGTTCAGCGAAAAGGCAGGTCATGAAGATGTACTGAGCATGCTCACGATGGTGAACAACAGCCTCAGCAGCATGGGTGAAGTTGATTCCAAACAAGTGGGACAACCAACTTCAACCCTAACAAAGAAGCTGTACTTTTGGCCAGGGCTGTAAAACAAACTAATCATAGTAGTACTAGAGCCAGTCAAGTGCTCCAAAATTAATAGACCTTACAAAAATGGCTAACACCACAGGGGCGGATCCAGGCCTTCAGGTAAGGGGCGGGGGAAGCGCTTTAAAAATATTGCCAAAGGGAAGTATCAGTTTGCGTCAGTCATGTGGGCCTCGGCTTTCGCTTTCATCCAAAAATAAGGGAGGGACCCAGGCCCCTCACCTGTATCTGCCACTGCATCATGCAAAGCAGGTGGAACTCCACAGAAAGACAGCAGCATTTGTACCACAACCTTGTTGTTGCGACCTCAATAATGATATTTGGCCCAAATATGGATGACACTCATACACTTTCTTACCTCTAAAAACTTAATTTTTTATGTCACTATAGAGTGTCATTGCAAAATTTCATTTGAAACTTGGAGTCACCTTGTGTAGCATAACTGCATTGTGGTGGTGTACCCATATGTTAACCTACATTAATTTTTGCATGGAAGTACATTTTCTTACCTTGAAGAAAGACTCATTAATATCTCACTGTGGAGTTTCATTGTGAAATAAAAGTCACATTGGCCATTTTTGTTAGCCTTGTGTGGCGAATTTTGTGTACAGAAAACCAGTATCTAGAGTGGAGTAAATATTTTCTGATTTTAATTTGTTTTTTTTTTTTTTATTTTTGTGGGGGGCGAAAAAAAAGCAAAAAAGTAAAAACTGTAAAACTTTAGTGCCACAAGGCAGAGACTTTCAGTTTAGGCAGCTGAAGTATCGTTAGATGCACTGTAACTAAAATAGAAATAACTCCTTCAACACAAGCTGCAAATTGTGCTCTTAGACAACATTAACTGCAATAAAAGTAAGAGGAGTCAAAAGTTCGTTTTGATTTTTATTGCTCATGCAAGATGTCTAATTTGCCCCGTCGACTACTAGCCTGTTCCTGGGCTCTCAGCCCGGGGGGGCACTTGGGTATTTTTTGGGTGGGTATGTGCCGCCCGGGACTCCAAATTGGCACCCCGTTCTAAAAAAAATTTCCCCTAAAATTGATACCCCGTTCTAGAAATGGGCCAATTTTTTATACCCCGGTCTAGAATTCGCCCTAAACCTGATACCCCGTTCTAGAAATGGGCTCGCGCCAAAATACGCCGCCCTACACGCTAAAACACAGGGTGCAACAAGTACAACAGTTTGCTTGTTAACGCACTGAACCGTATTTTTAAAAGCAGTCTGTCCTTGAATAATTTCAAATGGCTGCTTACAAAACTGGAGCTTTCGTGCGTTCTAAATATTATACCCCGTTCTAGAAAACGTCTCTGAAATGGATATCCCGTTCTAAATCAGGAGCTTGAAAATAACGACCCCGTTGGGCGGCACATACCAGTATAGGTAATGTATGGGAGTACCCCCCCCTCCGGCTCTCAGATTGTGGGGAAGGCACGAAAGCAAAAAATTCTTATGTAAAGTACCGCAAATGATCCCCAATATGACCAGGTGAAATGATCCCCCCGGGGAGGAGCTGGGGGTACTGCCATATATGGGCTATATAGATATATATGTGCCGCTGTGAAGGGTATGGTTTTCAAGCAGTTTACCCTGGGATCTGAGAAATTCACGTCTAGGATAGGGTATCATTTCAAGGAAACTGATCAATTTGTTAAAGATTTTAGTCTAGACTAGGGAAACCGGGAATTGCCTCCCAAAAATATAAAAAAAATCAAATGGGCAAGTTTAAACTCTTTACGCAACTTAGCCTAAATGCTACTCTAGGATAGGGGGGATTTGGAGAATTTATTCTAGTTTTGGGTAGCAACAACAACAACAACACCAAAAGCTTTATTTGCATGACCATAAAGGGATTACAGTATTGCAAAAGCTATTAGTCTAAATTTAAGTACTAATTCAACTAATTAGTACGTGCAAAACATTACCAAACGTTACAAAAATTCAGCTGAACTAGCTCTGGTATAGGCAGAGGTTTCAAGGGTCCCAGGGACACATCCCTAACCAAAAATTCCTAAAGTACCCGCCCCCCATCCTAAGAATGATACCCATTGTCGACCGCAAATGATCCCGAGAAGAAGATGCTAATGGCCTGGGCCGAGTTGTTCAAAGCTGGATTAAGATAACCCAGGGTTAGTCCGAGATTTGAATTAAGATTTGAAAGCTTAAAAGGCATTTCAGTTTTAGTTCTTTTTGTCTACAAGTTGATTATTGGAAGCTCTAAAAATATTACAGAAAAATATCCGAGAAAATGCTTTTGAACACAAGAAAAAGAAACCCGGGTTAAATTTAACCCCAGGTTAAGCGTTAATCGGCCTTCGAACAACTGGGCCCAGGACTCAAGTTTCTGGGTCAACGTGTCCAGTATTATCACAAAAATAAATTTGCAAAGAAAGTAACGTAGCTGTAAAACTAAATTTAAAACTTTGTTTAATCGATGTAATTCAATAAAACATAGAAGAAGGTGAACAAGAAAAACAAAAATAAGAAGCATTTCTAAAAAAAGAAAATACAGTCGACTCACGACTAGAACCACGCGCTATTTTAAAAAACTCGAACCAAAATCGATTTCCCTTGGATTTCCTTCACACATTTTACCCTTGGTAACGATTCGAATCTCCCGCTAAAATCGAAGTAATTTTTGTTTCCCCTCAAAAAAGAAATACTTGCCAAATTTTCCTACCCAAGAAAATCCCGGAATCGAAAATTTCAAACCCAAAAAAATCCTTCGATCAACCCCGTCGCTTGAAATCCCACTACTCCCCCCCTCCCCTCCCCCTTGGGGCTTCGACACGCGTTAAGACCCATCTCCCTCCCACGCAAACGTCGCGTTCCCGTTCCTTCCCCACCACTGTGACGAACACGTATGTCACAAATGGTGTTGTCTTTTTTGACGTGGTTCCCCGAATTTTTACCCATTATCCCCTATTCATCTGCTCTGACGCATAAATTTTGCCATGTCATCCGCTGGTAGAAATTGCTAAAGTTTTGCAACGTGGCGTTAAATTGGACTAGAGAGGGAAATTATACTGAATTTTATTTGTCTGTGAACTTCACGACTGAAGGTTACAGGAGAGCAAACTGTGCATCCTGAAAAGAGGTGAGCTGTTACATTTATTTACAACTTAAAAAACATAAAATCGGGCGATTTTGTTAGTAAATTTCGACCGGAGTTCATGCTTCCTGCCGGCGAATTTAAATCTAGGCATAAGCTTATGTGTGACTTATGATCAACGTATTTTGTACTGTCAGTCGAGTTTTCAGACTTAATAATTGCCTCGAAGTGCATGATCCTAGCCCATTCGCCAGCAGTTTCCTACCTATTAAGATGCTGGTGATCTTCTAATTATTTATTGTGTTTGCGCTTCTTCATGCAGTCAAATAGTGCTTAACCAGCTTTCACATTAATTGGGGATTGATGTGAAAGCTTGTTTTCTCGAAAACTGTAGAGATTACGCGTAGCTTTTTATGCTGTTTTATTATTATTTATTTATTATTTTTTGTTTCAGTCTTACTTGAATGTATATATTCCATCGTGTAATATACATTGTAAGCTTATGATTTCATGTAACTTAATAATTTTATTTTACAATTATAGTGCATGACAACTGTTGGCAAGTTTTCATGTTATCAATTAGCTTACTTAATAGGAAACGTTTATTTGAGAGAATCCAAGATAACCTGTGGATACTTGATCTGGTCAGTTTTGACTACTAAAAAGTAATATTATTTTTTACTTTCCATCCCACAAAAGTTTAAATATGGATGATGCTTCAGAGGACAGTCGGCCAGCTCAACCAGGCCTCATCAAAAAGTTCTTCTTAACAATTTCAACAGTAAGAGATTCATTAGCTATGTTGCTTTTTTTTATTCCTGGAATGATCACCATCTTAATTCCCTTAATTCATTAGAGTTCATAATATTCTAGACAAGGACTAGCGAAAATTGGGTTTCACTGGATAGATACATTTTGATAAACACCATTCTGTTGTCGTTTTGTTAAATACTTTGAAGTGAGTAAATCATTACCATGTAAAAGTTCTTCCTAAGAGTTTCCTTGGAAATGAATGATGATACCACTGAATTCACCTTCTGAGCATCTGATTCCACATGTAGTTTCACGTGACTTTAGTAAACAAACCCCGAAAGTTCAGACTTCCATTCTCTCCCACATACTGTACTTGCACAAAGTACGAGTCGCTATTTGTTCGCTATAATGAGGTTTATAATCAAGGTTCTTTTTCATATACATGTATTTACTATTACTGGGGCAAAGAACATCGTGTCCGAACTTTAGGTTTTAGTTTACAACAAAGGTCATCAATAGTGACATGAAACTACACATGAAATCTGATGCTCAGATCATTGGTGAATTTGGTCAAATTCCCCTTTTGATCATCAATTATATATAAGGCAATCCAATGGAGAATCTAGATTGTAATTTGAGGTCACTTAGGGCTCTATTCCGGGCACCCATTCATTATTTATTGGTACTCGTCAATAATTCTTAGAATTATTATTCTTTTTCTAACCTTTCTATAATGGCCTCCTCTCCACAACAGTGACAGATGATCTTGTCTCAAATTTTCTGATTGTTTTACAAATTAGCTTTAAGCAATTTGTAAGGGGAATCTTTAAATTGATCATACATGTAAGTCACTTTTCCAGATATATACATTTAGCCTTGCACATTTGTCACTGCATGCCAATCTTCCCGAAATAAATTTACCTTTATTGCAGAGATACCAAACTTTTCTTGATAGTACAGTACCTCATCTTCTTCCAAGATGGATTTCAACTCTTGTGATGATGATTGTATTTCTTGCAAGGATTTTATACGTACAGGTATATTAACATGTTTATTTGAAGATACCACATTTTAGCAAAACTTAAAGGACTTCTTACAATACCACTTTTTTAACATGATATTGCTTCCTTTCTTTACAGGGCTGGTACATAGTTACATATGCACTTGGCATTTATCAACTAAATTTGTTTATTGCATTCTTGACACCAAAGATTGATCCTGCGCTAGAAGAGTTAGGTGAGAGTGACATAGGTGTGTTCTTTTGAATACATTTTAATTTAACAGGGTTCTCCTGAAAATTTAAAGTAGACTTGGCTTTTAATCCTTCTACTTTAAGGACTAGTATTAACCAAAGGTTATGGAGTGCGGGCGACAATGATCAAAGGTTAAAACGCTTTTGCTCCAATGTTGTGAAACTTATGCAAACATAAGTTTCACGTGACAGGTGGTGAAAACATGCATGATCAAATTACAAGTGATTGAAGGTCCAACCGTTTCAGATCAAATTGCATTCTGTGCATTCCATTCATTCTTAGTGGAAGTCCAAACAGGTGCTGGCTACATACATGTGACGCATTTGTGATAACACCCTGGAGATTAGGATTGCGGGCTCCTCTTGTCGCCCGCGACAAGAAAACACTTTGGGCAGCAAAATACTAGATCCATGAAGTGGAGCACCTTCATGAGAGTCCACCCACACCCCCAAAGACACCCAGTTAACCCTTTAAGTACCAATGGTGACCAACATCAATTTTCTCCGAACAATATCCATAGATTCTCAAGAGATTAGGTTATGAGAGTTAATAGAATGATCATCTAAGAGAAAATGCTTTGATCTTTTATCAAATTCCCAACACATTCTTAAAGGAAATATATAGAGATCAGTTTGGAGAATTTGTATGTGGATATTGGTGCTTAAAGGGTTAACCTGGCCCTCAATGTGCATATTAAGGGTTTGAATGTATTGCCATGGATTCTTGAGAGTTTTTTTTAACTTTATAAGGTTTTTTATCTTCTTATTCGTAATGTCAAACCTAACAGTTGGCAATATGGATTTCTATTTTAAGTGATTTATGTGATTTATTTATTTATTTATTTATTTTTATGTCAGTTTAATTTATCTTATTGTATTTCGCAGAGGAAGATGGTCCAGAACTTCCCACTAAAGCAGATCAAGAGTTCAGACCATTTATCAGAAGATTACCTGAGTTTAAATTCTGGTAAGATTTGAACAGTGGAGGTTTTTTTTATTATTATTATTATTATTGTTAGTAGTAGTAGTTGAAGTAGTAGTGTAGTCCTGGACACAACAACAATGAAGACATTAATGAGTTTACGCAATAGGACGGCAGAAAGAAAAGGAGTAACAGTAAAACGTTTGTGTGTGACAAATGTGACAGGGCTATTACTTGCATGTTTTGTCATGATCTTCACTTACATTAATGTTTGCTGGTCTTTTACAAAAAGATCTGTTTAAAGGAGGGTGAAGTTTGGCGAAAAGTTTTTTCAAACAAAATTATTGTCACACTTGTCACACAGGGTTTGCCATGTTCTTTCTTCTCTCGCCCTTTGCATAAGCTCACTATTACTTGATAACACATGGAACGTTGCACACAACGAGCAAAGGGTTGCCTGAATGGTTGGTGGAGCCAAGAATAAAAAATTGCAGCCAAGAGTGGTGATTTTGTTACCTCGGCATCCTGCATCCCTCACACATAAAAATCCCCAAAGACAGAAAATAATTTGTGATATGTGTCACGGAGGACACAAAGATCAAATTATCGATCTGAAGATGTCAGGACTCACCTTAACTATTTGTAACAAAATCACTGCAAGAGCAAAGTATAACCATGACAATCGGCCCCTGAGTGGCATTCACCCTGAGGCACTGTCTCACTTTTGACCAGCCAGTGCAACCTAGCGTAGTTACCATAATACTTACCAAAGGGAGGGAAGGGTAGGGTGCAAAATAGGGAGGATTTGAGAGTAATAGGGTTGAGCAACGAACTTGGCAACGCGAACGTAATGGCCTGACCTCTGCCAAAAAACTGTAAAAAACCTAAAGCCCCCTGCAAAGCCATAAGTGTGCCTCCAAAAATCAGAAGTGAGAGACTGCTAGTCATTATTGTCTTAAGTTAAACTTAGCCTAAATTTCATTAATTAAAATGGAAGCAGGACTGAGTGTCATCCAATTTGGTCTGTAATCATACAAGTGATTATCAAAATCAGATGACCGCATAGCGGGAAACTGATTTGTTTAATCACAAGTGTGATTACAGACCGAATAGAATGATGCAAAGTTCTGTTACCAATTAATCATAACTATAAGAACATTTGTGATATTTTAATTAAGTTTTTCAAAAATCAAAACACAAGATATTCAAGAGTTTTTTTTTTTCTAGCAATGAAAAAACAAGCCCATTCAAGTGCTCATGCAATGGCACATACTGTCCAATTACTAGTGGGCATGATGTGTGCTGTCCCAGTACCTGGTCTGTTAGTGCTTACATCAGGATAGTTGAGAACCAATATTAAATTTTAATGAGAATTTTGTTATAGTTATGATCAGACACATTAATAACACTGATCAATCTTTCTTACTGGATGTGTTTTCTCTCCCTAGGTATGGAGCCACTAGAGCTGTTGTCATCGCTATAACATGTACATTTTTTGAGTTTTTTAACATCCCTGTGTTCTGGCCAATCTTAGTCATGTACTTTATTGTTCTTTTTGTCATCACAATGAAGAGACAAATAAAGGTAAGCAATACACAGTTACTGTAACAAACTCTTCATTGTGTAAGTGATTTTGAAACAAGTTACAAGAGATAATTTTTCTTCTTCAAACAGACATGTGTCTGTCCAAGTCACCAATTTGCTTGCACAAAACAAAATGTGGTCACATACATTCAAGGATGCATTGTGTGTGTTTATTGAAAATTGTGTGTGTTAGCCTATATTTGTAAAGGCGGGTAGTGATTCACCTTGTCATCTCATTCAGTTGAAACACCAAAATAGAATAGAGTAATCTCTCTTTGATGTACTGTAATTGCCAGTTTACATGTAGTCCAGATTAAGAAGAATCTGTTTCATACCTGTACGTGCACATTTGAAACAAAATTTATTGTTATTGATTTCAACTTAGTTTGTCAAACCCTTTGATCAGTTGTTCTTTTCTTTTTTCCCGCTAGCACATGATAAAGTACCGTTATCTTCCATTCACACATGGAAAACAGAAATACAGAGGAAAGGATGACTCTGGAGATGTGTTGAAATCATAAGTTCTTACAACATAACAATATTGTTTAAATACAAAGACTGTACAGCAATATTTTTATTTTAAGTACATAAATAGACTTCTCTCTGTGACTCACTGGGGACATATCAGTGCCGAGTGTTGAACGAAGGCAAAGTAATTTGTCACAGCTTGGTTTTACATCCTTACAAATATATTACAAGCCCATCTTTTAGAACCCAGGGGTTTCAATAAGCACCGATGGCTGAGAAAATGGGTTGGCTACCTTGCTCATAGAGGTTGGCTACTTTTTTCTAGAAAGAAAAAGCAACTAGTTTGAATAACGTTGTAAACAAAAAAAATATATCATAAATTCTGAATGAAAAGGTAATTATGATGTGTTTTCATTTTGGCCCCCTGGTTTTACGTTATACTTTAGTCATATAAATGCTATATTTCAGTCATTTTTTCACAAGTTTCTTTATAGGTTTACGCTGAATTTGTTTAAGCACAAAAGTATGTAATTTAGTTTTCATCATTTTGTTCATTGATTGTTGAAATTGATTGTGTGACTGATAAATTGAAAGCTACATTTTCTTGAATAAAAGACACGCTCTTTTGTCCTCAAATTTATTCCCCAGAATGCTGAAAATCGCAGTTTAGGGCTTTGAAATTTCAAAATTTTCTAGGGCAGAACGCTCCCAGACCTTATTCAAACTTGCTGGCTACTTCAATTTTTATTGAAACCCCTGAGCATCTAGTTATCAAGAAGCTTGAAATTTTGGTAATAAGATTTTGTAACCCTTTATGTAAAAAGCCGGTGATGCTAGAAATTAAAACAGGAGTGTATTTAAGTAGAAAAAAAATCAGGGTTCTAGAAGGAACGAAAAATAATAAGCACCTTTTTCCACTTAAATATTAAACCTGTTTAGCAGAAGACCTTGAATTCCTTTTAGATATAATACAGTGCCTATGTGTAGTTGGTTAAGTCTGTTTCAAGTTAACTAGTATTAAACCTAGTTTTTGAGTTTTATTTCTCAACGTATTGGAAGTATAACCAAGATTGACTTTCACACATCTTCTCATGGATGAGGCCAGCTGTCTGTATTTGCATGAGCTGTGATTTGTTCTTTGGGTTGTATTTTTTGAGATTTGCTAGGTGATTGGATTTTGCTGTTAAAATGCTCACCTGAGAACCACTCATCAGAGTTTTTTGTAGCCAAATTCATTTTCAAGGACATGAACTCCCATAATGGACCGTGCCTTTTGCAGCAAAGATATCTGCCCAAGGAGAATCAAAATGATGATGACGATGATGATGATGATATCGCCTTGACAAGAGTCTATTCTTATGCGAATTAATGCTCTTAAAAAATTGCTTTATTGTTGTGTGCAATCTGCTTACACCTTTTCATTGATAAGCCTACCGCAGTCAATAGCCATCACAAAGTTTTATGTACGTGTTGTGATGTGTGTGTATGCTTGTTGGCTTAGTTAGTGTAAGCACATTGCACTTGACGGAATGGTTGCTCTAAGTGGACTTTAACTTTTTGCTCCAAAATTAATGTCATAACCTTCAAACTTGAATTCTATTTTGTCTCAGGAAATGTCCCTACAGGCCCCATGAAGGGTTTCTTTGGTCAAACCCTCCCACTCCCACCCCCACCCCTCTGGAAGTTTCAGTTAGTTTTAAATGTTCATTTTAACAGTTTGGTTTTTTTTTTGCCCCCCTCCCCTCCCACACTGAATTTCCAGACTTTTTGTGGGGTTTGTACGGACATTTTCTACAACCATTGCTAAAAACATGTGATTTATGTAATTACATAGTGATTAAATGTTAAAAGCTAGTGGTATTTGTGTAGGTAATAGTATGATTTGTAGTGATATTTGGCATAAATACCACAAGTGATATTTCCAAATTGTTAAACGTAATTTGAGACAATTTTGAAATATCATGAGTGGTATTTGTGCCAAATACCAAGTACAAATCATGCTATTATTTGTTTATACTACTGACATTTACCAAATATGGACAGATCTGTGGTTCACATGTAGGTATTTCAAATTAAGCTGAAATACTACTGCTCTAAGCCAATCAAATTGCAGAAATTTCTCATGTAGTGGTATTAAGTTGATGAATGTCATCAAGGTTGAACTTGATTAGTGTTTACTGGTACTTAAAGAAAACCTAGAATAATAAGGACGTTACCATAATATATTTAAAGAGAATAGGTTCTCTTTTTTGTGATATCCAGGCATCAAGATACATTTAGCCTGCAAACATGGCCATTACTTCTGTGGCTTAGAGCAATGAGAGATGGCTGTTATTTGCACGCTAAGAAAATGTAAAGGAGGTTAAATCTGTTAAAAACTGCTCTCTACCATGGAGATCAAAAGTGTTGGGACCTTTCCAGTGATATTAGTAAAACTAGCGACCTCCCTCCTCCCATCCCAAACAATGTTGAATTTTGAGCAATTTTTTTGGACACAGCATTGTTAGGGGAGGGAGTGGGGTAATGAAGGGATGAGCCCAGAGCCGATCAAAAAATTTTGATTAGGAGCAGAGTCCTACGTGACTATTAGTTGTAAGGTTTTTCCTCAGTGTCCCAAATTCTTTTGGCCTCCATTGTCCCAACCATGGCTTTTCTCCTGGAGCCTGGGAGGGGTGGGGAAAAACAGGGAAAAACCCTGAGGAGAAGCTTGGTTAACCCTTTAAACCCTAAGATCAAACTTTGAATTCTCATTTGTTGCCCCTATTCATTTCCTACAGAAGAAGTGGGGAGAAGCAGGCTCCTGGGAGAAGTTAATAAAATGTCCAGCAAATTTATCTTGTTTTTTCATGGTGGTAATTCTTATGACCACTCTGTTTTACCAAGCATTGATATAACAAGGAGAAATTTGATTCTGATGACTCTTCGGGTTTAAAGGGTTAAACTAATTTTAAGGAGTTTAGATAAATATGTTAAAACTATTTTAAGTATCAGATTTACCTTGTCACAATAACCAAAAATAATCAGTCTATTTAGTACAAAACTTTGCAAAATGTTATGGATAATTAGAATACATCCATCTTCCTTTGATTTTCTTATGGTAAATTGTTTATGAGTTTGAAAAAGTTTTATGACAGTTTTGAGTTAGGTACATTATCACAAGTGAATAAAATAAACCATACCTTTCTGTTATTATGGATAGGTATTGACTAGAAGTGGTGCGCATCAAGAACACCACTTCCTGGCCCCAGTTGTTCCAAACATGGATAGCACTATCCGCGGGATAAATCTCTATCCAGTAGATAACACAATTAGTTTTCCTAAAACTTGTCTGCTGGTAGTGATTTATCTGGTGGATAGCGCTATCCAACGTTGGAACAACCATGGCTGATGTTCATCTTTGTGACACTTTCACTGAGGTTGCACTGGACACCTACACAGCTGTTCAGTGTCCTGTCACTCATCAACACTTCCCCCCAAAGAAACCTTCATTCCTCTTTTTCTTTGGAGAGGAGCATTGCGTGACGAGGTAAAGAATGGCTGCGTGGGAGACCGATGTTTCTCTCGTTTTATTTGTGTATAAGCTGCCCCTGGGTGTCCCAGGACAGTTGAGGGCCAAAATGTCTTATCTAATTCCTTTACTTATTGTAGCATGGATAATGCTAAGATTGACATTTTTATTGTCCATGAAACTTCAGTAGGGGACAGAATTAGTCGAGGAATGTTACCCTCTACGCTATTTCTCAGTTTTGCCGACACTATACTTCGAACGAGAGAAAGGTAGATACAGGCTAAGAACAAGCAAGCCTTCCTCTCCTCATCCCCCAGTGTTCTCCCGCTTTGAAAGTTCGCTTTATAAAACAACAAACAAGCCAACTTTATAACGTCCAGATTGTTTTTATTCCAAAGTTTGCATAATTTTATGTCAGTGCCTCGACTTTTTAGTCACGTTGGAGCTCACGCCCTTAAACTCGGCATGTGATCATAACTTGCCCGCGAATACAGCTGTCTTCCCTTGCTTCTCGCCGCAAGAGAAGTTTCGCGGGAAAGTAACGAGGAAAAACAACCGTATTCGCAGGCTATATTAGCACAAAAATTGATGATTATCTAGACGCCATTTTGCGAAATCAAAAAAGGATTTCTCTTGCGCCGTCCCAGAGGGAGGGGGGTACTCCGGAGAGGATGATCGAAGGATTTTTGGGGGTTTGAAATTCTCTATTCCGGGATTTATTTGGGTAGAAAAATTATAGTATATATATATATTAAGTATATTTTTGGGTGGCTCAATTTAGGTAGGGATTTTGTGCGGATTCAAAACAATATGAAGTTGTCATTCTGCATAATGTTATTGATGAAATTTTTAGTGTTTCGAGTGTTGTTAGAATCCAGAAGGGTCGGGAATTTGGCATGGGATTTTTTTTTTCTTGGGAGGAGGGGGGGGGGGTTAATTTTTGGTCCAGGGATTTTTGTGGGTTTTGTTGGAAACCCTATGGATTTTTTTTGCGTTTTGACTTTTACCCCCATTCGATCATCCCCGTCACTTGAAATCCATAATGCCTTCCCCTCCCCCGGGTCCGCCTTATCATAAATCCAACAGATGTATGACGTCACGGTGACGAAGCACAATCCGTACAATTCGCTCACAAACGAAAACCGTAACACAAATGACGCCATACAAGACATTGTTTTAATTCTTCATTACATATCTACTTAACTTTCTTTTTCATGCAGACTACTTATCTGATGATACACTGTAATCTATAGATTCCGTACTTGTCAAACATCACTCAGTCTCCTAACTACTTTTAAAGAAGCCGCTGCTTGTACGGCTAAACTTGCGTCAAAATTGTGAAGACTGTGAAATGCACAGGCAGTTTATACGCATATTCTCCAGTAATTATACCAGACGCGCAGAGACTGGGTTGAGCAAGGTTGAGCAAAGAGCAGATAGAACTGTGGTACAATCAAATCCCGTTAATAAGACACGGAAGGGGGCACAGAAAATGTCCTTATTAAGCGGGTTTAATTTAGGGCCTGTTTACATGGAGGTGGGGGACCCCAAGTAGGTGAGGTAACTCGCTTAGGTGGGGTAACCTGCCTGTCCATACAATCTCTCATCACGTTTACATGTTATGGGGGGTAACCCGCCACATGTTACCTCACCTACCTGGGGTCCCCCACCTTCATGTAAACAGGCCCTTAGAGAAAATGTAAGCCAGAATTAATTGTTTTCCCCAGGGACATGTGGGGGAGCTCATGGAGTGCAATGCGGGAAAGGCCCGGTCTATTTACAGTCCCTAAATTACTTTTTTTGGAAAAACTGTTCCTTTGTACTTTTATATTAAATTATCAAGCAGCTATCTACAAAGCGAATATTAACAAAAAAATATTAAACAACCTCTAGGATTATTTATCATCGAGATATCTACAAACTTGCCGTACACTTGGTAATAATTATTAATGCATTTGTCCGGCAACTGACTGATTTCAATAAATAACAGATCAAATATTTTCTAACTACCCTGGCTACTTACTTATTTTTAGTCTTTAGTTGTTGAGTAATTCCTAACCAGCCATCAGGCCGAATTCAAGGGCCTAACTGAGCCTGATTGCAATCTAAACAACGATCTTTTACGTCACAAAAGACTCTAGTATAACTTAAATCAATAAACAACTATCTGTAAATTAAAATTATATGACAACTGACGTAAGCAAAGAGCTTTACAGCATTGCAGTCGTTTTTCTCAGTTTCTATTGAAAAGAACGTTTGAGTCCATATCAGAATGCACTCTTGTGGTAGACTTTTCCTGGCCATTTAATGAAGTTATTACGTTCCTGTATGCTGTCCAAATCCAACAGATGTTAGAAAGCCATCCCACAGTTTCAAGTTCCTACATTAAATCGTAGTAAAAAGACGACTTATTAGGAATAAACTACTAGGAATAGTTCATCCTATAGCGAGGGGTGTAGCCTTTTCTGGTTCCAGTTAATTGGTGGCACCGCGTTTAATAGGAGGCTCCCTCGCTCTCCCCAAATTAGCCGGACGCCTGGAACAGGCTAACGGGGGTGAAATTGAGTGAGATAAAAGATGACCACTCAAAGTGAAAAGTAACGACCAGAGCGTGAACCGAATTGGTAGAGAAAGCATCCGTGCAAAGTTGGCGGCTCAAATATGCAATGGTGAAAGCGTGATACGACAAAATATGCCTTACCCTATTTGCATGTTTAATTACATACATACTATATGCTTGGCCCCGGTTGTTCAAACGCTGGATAGCGCTATCCACCGGATAAATCACTATCCAGCGGATAAGTATTACGGAAATCAATTACGCTATCCGCTGGATAGTGATTTATCCGATGGATAGCGCTATCCGACGTTTGAACAACCGGGCCTTGGTCTTCAAAAAATTTGAAGCAGTTAGTCCTATTTATCATGAGGGACATGACCTGCTTTCGTCGTCTATAAACAGCGCCGCTGGAAGAAGGGCTTCATAGTATGTGTGTGCGTATCAGGAAAATGTGAAGTCTATTAAAAGAGATTCAAGGAGGCTTGCTGTTTAAACCACAGGTTATTGATCTGACCAAGTACAGTAGGAGTCGGATAAGTTATTTGATCAATCGTTAGACTTGCGTTAGCCTGCGAGAGCATCCGTTTTTTCGGCTTTAGTTTCACCCGCCGTGAAAAACCGTCGTTATTTTTCGGAGGGAGAGAAGCGACGACCGGAAATACGTCTGTGGTTCGTAGGCTAGACTTGTGTGTGCTACAGAAAAACTTACGATTGGTTTTTGTCTTAACAAAGTCCGCGAAAGTTGTAGTCGAGTTTAGTACTACATTTTTAACCAATCAACAAGCAAATGAGGAAAGACTAAAACTAGCTTTAATCATGAAACATATCGCGGTATTTACCTGGGCAAGGGATACAGCAACCCTTTCTCATAGCACCTTCAAGAGAGTTAGGACATTGCCCTCTGGGGCAGGGGGCACGCCGACAATTCGTCCTTCCATCCTTAAAAAAGGAGAGAAATTGTTTAATACCTTCCTAACAACAACTTGTGTCGCACAGTACTGATTAAATAAGGAAATACTCAGTGTCTTCGATGTATGACACCAAATTCCGATACAACCAAGATGCAGTGAAAATTTTAAAAAAGCAATATTACTTACCCTACAGCTACACGTTATGCATTTTGAAACACCAAGCAATGGAAAATAAGGCTGCCATGTTTGACCGTGTTTGAATTGACTTCCGCGAAAATTGCATCCTACAGTAAAAGCAGGGCTCGAAATTAACTTTTTCGTTCGGGAGCCAGCTGGCGACTAACGGAAAAATTTTGGTCGCCAGATCGTAAATTTTGGTCGCCAGCTTATTTTATATATAACTTAGACCCTGTTTACATGGAGTGGGGGACCGCAGTCTAGTGGGGTAGGTTTCTTTTTGCTTTGTGTCCCCAGGGTGAAAAACAAAAGAAACCAACCCCACTAGACCAGGGTCCCCCACTCCATGTAAAGAGGCCCTTACACAAGAACACGATTTTATACGTTACTTTGCGTGCAAGAAAAGTCACAACTGAAGAGCGAAAACAATTAGAAACAACATGAGTAACACTTAGTTATAAAGCTACCGTTGTTCTCAGGTGATATGTCTCAGGTCCGAAGGTGATGGTTGTCTCCATAGTCATTTTAAATGAAGCGAAGCATAAAACGTTTTAAGTCCGTGGTTTTCATTCTGAGACAAACACGGGTCCTTGCGTATTTGCCCTTTGCTACTTCTACGAAATGGCGTTCTTTATTTTCGACTTGCTTTCCTCGACGCCTTTTGCTGCCGACAAACAACGCCATGCTTGGCCCAGGCCACCACATTGCTCGTACCAGTCTCCGACCGGGAGGAAACATAAATGGGCTTAGTGCCGTTTTTAGGTCTTCGTTTCATTTTAGACAGAACGTTGTAGGAAGAAACGTTGTTAAGAACTATTCACTCAGGTACTTTTTCTATTAGTGATAGTTATATCCATTTATTAACCGCCCACTTTCCCTACATCAACAACTGATGAAGGATTCAAAGTTTGGATTAACCTTTTGGCTGAATCTTCATTCCCCGCACGTAAATACTCACGTATTTCCTTCAACTGATTTGTATCTGCCGCCATTTTCGCGGCAAATGAAAAGCACATGGTGTTGAAGTACGCCTGCGATCCCAGTTTCGGAAGAAGCCACGGAAACAATATGGCGCGTCGTGAACGCAGTATCGACGTTTCGAAATACATTCAATTTTTTCGATTATCTTGTAGTATTCAGACATTATTTTACTGGGGACAGAAAGGTGAGTTGGATACTAGCTACCATATCCGATTGATTTCCTAATATAAAGATTTAAAAACAAAAGTTGTGTCGTGGTTTTCTTTAGCCATCGGACAAAACGCGAGTCGCCAGCTGGCGACCAGTTCTGAAAATTTAGTCGCCAGTCCTCAATTTTTGGTCGCATTGGCGACCAGTGAGTCGCAATGTCGAGCCCTGAAAAGGATGCAGGTTAGGAGAAATCAAGTTTTTATCATTATCATCATCATCACCATAATCAATATCATCATCATCATTATTATTATTATTATTATTATTATTATTATTATTATTATTATTATTATTATCATTTTCATCATCATCATCATCAACATTATTATCATTGTGTTAACATTTTTATTTCAACAGTCCTTCAATGGGAGGGGTCGCATTATCAACAAGAAAAACAACATACTACAAAGAAAATTACCAGAAAAGTTGAGAAAATTTAAATAATCTTTTTACATACCTTTTCCACCCTTTTTATTCTTTCTGTCGTTGTCTGATCGCTCACTCTCTCCATCTAAATTCAAAGGAGAGAATGGAGAGATTTCGGTTATGAAAAGCCTAAAACACTTCCTCCAAGATATCATGATCAGGGCCCAGCTGTTCGAAAGGTGGATAACGTTATTCAATGGATAAATTTTTATCCAGTGCATGGATAACGCAGTTAGTTTTACTGATAGTACTAATCCACTGGATAGTGATATTTTCCGTTGGATAGCGCTATCCAGCGTTTGAGCAACGGGGGCCAGAAGAACAAGTTTAAAACATGAAGGATTTAAAATTCGCCGAGCACAAACCTATTACTAACCATAGGAAGATCACATCAATCCTTTTGAAGTTATTCGAGCAAAAGATTGAGACTTGTTGAAAAATAATCCTTCAAGCTACTTACCAGGGCACCGCATACAACAGTCTGCCATGCGTTGTTTAATTGGATTTTTGCAGTGCAGCTCTGGACATGTAACTTTAATACAAGAAATTTTGTCCTGCAAAAAAAAAGAAAATTAATATTTTATAACTCATTGAAAAGAAAACATTGTGGTTGGAGGAAGGATTTTATACTCAAACGAACACTTCCTTTTTCATTGAAAGTTGGCCGCTCACTCAGTCTGACTGAAAGTACTTTTAGCGCACACACTAATGATCAGAAGCCGACTACCGCTTACCATACATGTGCAGGCGTGACATCTCATGTAACCAAACGGCTGTACAAAAGGGTGCCACACAGCGTTTGCGGGGTAGACTTTTCGGTCTCTTTTTACGTAACAGCCTTTTACTGATGGCCTTCTCTTCTTTTCGTAGTATATGACAACTTTTTCCTCCAAAGCTGCAAGGTAGTGGGAGAAAAAGCAGATTCTTTGAAAATCAGTTGAAAACAAGCTAAACCAGTTGTTACGTGTAGTTTATTTTCAGATTCTTGATACAAAATGTGCGAAATATTCCCGCAAACGTACCATTTAAGGTGTCGACGTGTAGCGCGACAATGCTGCACTTAAACTCCAATTACACGCGCTAAAAAAAATCGGCACGGCACTCCAAATTTTTGGCACCGTGCCTCGTTTACCTGTGCCGAGACCGGGAGGTAGTCTCGGCACCCCTAAAATTTTGAGCACTGGTGCCGCACCACATCTGGGACCGATACGTTTACACGTCGAAAATTGGGAGTGGGAGTGCTGTGCCTTAAAATCGTCAGCGTGGTGCCAAAAATCTGGCATGCCGTGCCGATTTTTTTAGCGCGTGTAAATCGGGTTTGCTAAGACTTCATGTAACAGAAAATCAAGCACTTACCTGGACAAACCGGGCAGCATGAGAGAGGTAATAATATAGGGGCTTCAGTGCAGTTTAATGGCTGACATGTAATGTTAGAGCAATTAACTTCACCATCCTGAAACCAAACAAACAGATGGAGCTTTATCGCTTCTATAATACAAAGTTCTGTATGGGAGCAAAACTGAGTTTTAGATAAGCGGTATCACGGGCATTGAGCCCCTGAAAGGGACTTTTAACCCTTTCACAGCCAAAGGTGTCCAAAGCCAACATTTCACAAAATGTCCATTTTTTTGTGTGTGAAAGGCTGAAAACCAAATAGCACCATGTGAAAGTACTGCTGAAGAGGTTTTCATTTGAATGGTCACAAGATAGCATTTCGTCCACAGACTCTAAAAGTTAGAACTGCCTTATCGCTACTCCATCGTGTAATCTGGCAGTGAAAAGGTTAAAATTTTTGTCCTCGTTTTTTCAAAATTTAGCTTTATCGAATATGTTTGAAAGATGGTTTTGCTGTGCTGGTTTTGGCCACCATACTAAGCTCATCCCCAGTGCCTTTTCCTCCTCAGATTCCGAGGCAAAAGACCTGGGGCTGAAGTTCGCCACCGCACTCAAGGGATTAAAAAAACGGACGTTTGAGCGTTACCAGTTGGTCAAAGCCGAACAATTTCACTCCATCATTGACCATCATTGGCCAAATTTATCTGTTTAGCTCATAATGTCCTGAAATCGGGTATGTTTTTCAAGGGAACCACGACAGCTTGTAAACATATTTGTAGAGTGTCATAAATAACAAAAAAATGCTTTAACAAAAGTTGACTTAACTTGAACAAGGAAATGGGTTCGCAAACAGCGTACAACTTTCAGAAGCCATGCCCTTAAACGGAAATGGATATGATCAGGTCCAATAACGGGTGTGGAAAATCGCCTTTTCTTTATCACGGATAGTGTCGTGATTTGGAGAAGCGGGCGCCATACCCCCATCAAGAATTCCTGAGAGTACCCCCGGAAAATATCGCGATTTTTAGTTAGTAATAATTCTCTTCAAGTTACCTTGCAAGTACAAGATATACATTTGTCATCCTCATCAATCCACGATTCGCCTTCGTAATATCTTTTGTTCCCAGCGTTACAGAAGTCACCATTGTTGGGCAGCGGTGGAGAACCGTGTATACAATGTGCGCTGTTTACCAGGACCTGACTCCTAAGTTCTCCCTGTGGGACCTCTTCACTGCTGACTTGCAAATAAACCAATCCTTTGAACATATTCACCAGGAAATCTGGCTTGAGGCTGCGTACCGATCCCGAAACCTAAGACACATAATAGGCTGAATTAACAACGTCATTTGACGACGGATAGATAGATAGATAGATAGATAGATAGATAGATAGATAGATAGATAGATAGATAGATAGATAGATAGATAGATAGATAGATAGATAGATAGATAGATAGATAGATAGATAATCTTTATTTATCCACGGTACAAAATTCGTCAGCTTTAAAAATGCCTAATACTAATATAATAAAAATATTTAAATAAAAAAGCTGCTTTCCACGAATGCCGTGCCTTACAGTTCTTTGAGTAATCGTTTAAATTGCCCAAGGGACTCTGCTTCCCTTAAGTTACAAGGAAGACTGTTCCAGAGAATGACGCCACTATAGCTGAAGCTGTTTTTGTAATAGTTTGTGCGCGGTAATGGAACATTGAGTTTATTTTCAGAGTCCCTTAGGTTATATGCGACTTCTCGCCTTTCAAATTTAGAGCTAAGATAGTTTGGAGCCAACCCGTGCAGAGACCTGTAAACCATCGTAGCTGTTTGAAATTGTTGCTGGCAAGCTAGGTTTTTCCACCCTAGAAGTTTGAAAAGGTGACCAGCATCTACGTCATAGCTTGAGTAGGTCAAAACACGGGCTGCTCTGTTTTGTAGCTTTTGAACCTTATTCCGTAAGGTTATCCCACAGTTTCCCCAAACAATGTTGCAATAATCAAAGTGTGGCTGTATTAAAGCTTGATATATTAGTTGTAAGGTCGCCTGAGGGACAATTTGCCCGTTTTAGGTACTCTTTCATAACGGGTATATACACTGTGTAGCAAGGCGTTGCTATAGCATGGTTTTTCCTTTTTTATGTGCGTCTGGTTGTCCTTTCGTCATTATTTTTGGTTTTGCAAGGCATCTCCATGACACCGAGGGTGAGTTTATTCAACACCCATTATTCATTTTGTGTTCTAAATGGCCTTGTCAGCCTTCAATAGAAATTCCCCACCTCAGAAGAACTAGAACTACTTGCAAAATAAGACATCACGTCTTTACCACATTCGACGCACGTATAAGAAATGTAAAATGTAGAAAATACAAATGTTCTAGAAGTTTTAAAATCCTCGAAATCTATCTCGCTCTTCGAACCTCGTCGGTCAACCTCAGAAGCTTTAGCCTGAAGTGTGGGTCATGCTTTGGGGTGTAACGATTTCCATGGTCGTTTAGGTAGACAAGCGTTAGTTGTGATTGGTCGATGGTATCCAAGGCAATCATAAACCAATCATAAGCAACGCTTGTTCACCCAAACGATCCCAGACACCACTGCGCTAGCTTACGTAGCAAGCTTTCTGCTGCGGTTTCGGAGCAACGAACGAGGAACGGATTTTCGGTTTTGGCCGCGTGAGCAAGCATGTTACGTGCAAGCGAGCAACAGTCTTAGGTTGTTACATCTACATCTACATATCATATATTAGGTCGGTAAAAATCGCTAAGACATCACACCAATCGTAAAATAATATATAAGAATGATATAAAATTAAAAAAAGATAACTAAATAACTATTACTTAAGAAAAGCTGATAAATTAGATTTAAAAGACTCTAATGAACTTGATGATACAATGGTTTCAGGGAGGCAGTTTTTAGCCTTTTGTGTCTTTTGCTACACTTTGAGCCTATTAGTTATTGGCATCAACGACACAATTACTCACCGTTTCTCCTTCAAATGATTTTAATAACTGCACGTGTTCATCGTAGGGCTGAGGAACCTGGCCATAATCAGCAAATCCCTGCAGTTCCGCGGTTACCAAGTTCTTGCGCCCACGATCAATGCCACTGATCATCAAATGATAGTGCAGAGCACAGTGTTTGTCCAGTGAGAACCAGGCCTGTCCCGCCGCGCCAGTTTGGATCCTGGGAACTACTTCGTTACCCGATAACAACATCGGAGGATCTGAAGAGAAGAGAGATGAGGAACAGGAAGTGAGGTGCATTCTGACGTTTGACTTCTGCCGATTCACGTTTACGGCAAACGGCAAACGCCGGACCCAAGTTGAGAATTTCCCAAAATAGAAAATGAGCAGATAAAAACAGTCTAAAAAAATTCTTATGGATGAAATAACGTGAGAGTACTTATTTTTTGGTCAGGTAAAGAACAGTTGAAGACTAGTGAAAGGAAAACATGGTCACGTGGCAGAAATCCAAACGTGACTCAAAATCTCTCTAATGTTCTACGAAATGCCGTCAAAAAATTCAAAATGGCGCCAGGGGGGATCTAAAAGCGATATAATCGATATTGAATAGCAGATATACATTATTTTCGTAAGAATCGAGTTTTTAGTACATTCAACTTTTTTAAATTTTTATAGAAAGAATAGCAATTACAATTCATTTCCAACAAATTAGACTTCAATTTTCACAAGTAACAAATTGTGAGTAAGTTCTTTTTTACTAGACTTAAAGGATAAACTTGATTGATTAAAGAATGTCTGCTCACCGCGATATGACAGATGATGACCCATATATGGAAACTGTTTAAGTTTTCCGTATATTTCACCATTTCTATTACTTGAGGTACGGACGTTAATAAAGATGTTTCCATTGAAGAGCCAGCAGGTTTCTGCAAATGATGGTCTTTCCCAGACACCGGTGACCTGTGGTGGATATTAAAAATCTGTTAAAACAATCAAGTTGCTTGAGGACCGACACAGACACACGATACAAGATCATAGTATTACATGCGGCATTCAACTTTTGAAACCCGTTGTAGCCACACAACACTACGGTGTTAAACTTTTCGTGCAACACCCAACACTAAGAGAGGCTAAAACATTAATGTTATAAAGCATAACTGCATTGTTATTGCTGTAGCGTTTACATGAAAAAAGGAGAAAAACGTAAAATTGTTATGCTCAGGTCCAGTAACATCTGTAAACCTGAAGAAGGCTGGTATGGCCAGCCGAAATATTGCTATGAAAAACAATACACGTTGTTCTAAATCAGCTTTGCAGTAGTCTTTGGACTTCCCTTTTTTGGTTCTTTATGCGCAGGGCTATTTTAAGATATTGTCCTTTCACCGGACTTAAAAGCAAAGTGAGTAGCGTAAAAAAGAAAAATAAATAAAGCCATAACAGGAAACACTGAAAAACCATAGTTCACTGGCCTTAGCTTGGCCGTGTTCATCAGTGGTTACTGATCGTGACAGCCTCTTTACTGTTCGTCTGTTGTTCGTTGCTTGTAATGTGATTTCCTCGACAGGATTTACCAGGCCAGAAAGAAACACCTGTTATAATAAAAATAAAAATAATAAAAATAAATTTACAGTGTCATAATTACTTTCTTTGTCAACGTTATCTCTGAATTCATTTGCCCCCTAACCGTACTGTTCCGCCCCCACCCCTTCACCCCCATCTCCGTCTTCGCTAACATGTGTTACAAGCCTACTATTAATTGAGCTAGTGCTCGAAACTTTAGCTTTTGAATCACTTTTTCGCTGCCTTTTTTCTTATTCACCCAGTTGATAGAGCCATATTGTTACGTTTCACTCTCTGCTCAAAATATCACATCAGTTCATTTAGAAACCAAAAAAAACATTCCCAAACAGTGAACCCTCGATTAAAACCCCTCGGTATATATGTCATCCGGGCTATGGTAGCCACAAAATAGCTGATAGCGCATCTTCTTCAGTTGCTAATTTTTTTAACTAACTCATTCATCTTCACAATAGTTTTTAAATTCAGTATAAAGGAAAAATAGTTGCAACAGCAGAGAGCCAAAACGATAAATTAGGATAAGGAATTTTTTGCTTTTCATTGTCATAAATATTGATTATTCTTCTTGACAGATTCATTTTACCTGGTAATATATTTGACCATGACTACCAAAGTCGAATGAGGCATAGCCGCTGGCCCCTGTCATCGTGGGTCTAGGAGCATCTCGACCAGATAGTTGAGAGACAATGGCTGTCAAAGAAAGAGCAAGTTTGCTCAGTGCCTAAGTTAGAACGTATTATAGTATTAGGCGCATAAAAGATTTGTAAGAACTTCCTTCGTTTTTCCATCTGCAGCTAGAAATCATTTGTACATCAGGGTGTAATCTTTTATTCTACCCATCATCGTTTTTCGGTTTAGTTAGATTTTAACTTTGTACTTTTGTACGAGTAGACGATGGAATCTGCGTCGCATCTCCGTATATAGTTTCAGCTCCTTTTTCAAAAAACATGAGCACCAAGTGTTTATCTACAACAACGTTCAACTAGACATGATCACGAACTGGTGCCTTGTTGTCCAATACCGACTTAATTACAAAGAACTTGTTCCTTCCAATTCACGCTTTCCAGATCACAGGATAAAATGTTTTAAGAAAAATGACAATTTTTACTACTATCACGAAAATTTTTGGAACTTACAGTTACAAGTTCTTTTGATGCCAATGCGTCCGGTAAGTTGAACAGTCTGGTCAGCGGTATTCAATACCACTGTGATATTTAAATGACCACGTGACAGCCACTTGAGCGTCTGTTCACGTGGATTGATCCATGAAGTTTTGAAATTAGAATTCTGGGAAAACAAACAAAGAATAAAATCAGCGATTAGCATCTAATCCATCTGAGTCCGCGGCATTTTGGTCAGCGGGTTGTCGCAAGGAAGAACTACAGCCGATGAGCAAAGACTTTGAGAAACCAGATTACAAGTTTCACTTGAAATGGCCTTAATTAGATACTACTGACAAAGGCCCCCTTTGCTTTATGAAGTGTGCATAATAAAGTATCCGTTATCCCCTCTTTACTATAGGTTCAGTAAAAGAAGGAGCCATTTAGCAGAAAAAGGAGTAAAAGCAAACGCCAAAGAGTTGACGGTTTGGTGTCACACTAATACTGTTTAGGGTTAGGGTTAACCAATGATTTAAAAATGGTTAGCTTTATATTACTCTTTTGGTAACGCTATAGAAGTACTCTTACAAGTACAGCTCTCTACAGCTACTTTCGTCTCATACTCGACCTGAGAAAAATCTCTGAACTGATCGGAGAATAGGTAGCCTGTGCATGCTCTCAAAGAAGAAAGAAGAGAGAAAGGAGGCGATCTCTGCACGTTACTGCAAGTCTTGGAGCCTAAAACAGGCCGGAAAATAGACGACGTTTGCGTTCGTGTTTAAGGCGCTACAGCTAAAATGGCCTAAATGAACAGGGCGGGGATGACTAAAGCATCGTATGTACCTCTCTCCTGACTTCTCCGGCGCCGATAATTTTCAATATTCGAGGATCTTTGTTATTACCAGCTTTCTTTATCAACTTGAATGTGGCTTGACTGGCTGGTCCTTAGGGGAAAAAGGCATAAGAAACTTTGATGTTCACTCGATCAAATGAAAAATTATTCTTTAAAAAGTTACTTATAGTAAAAATTTTTAAAGGCCTGTGGCCAAAATCCCAGATCAATGTGACTATTCACAGGCCTAGGGTCGTCGGGGTTAATATGATTTACAGAAAAAAGAAGGTATAAGGCAACGCTTCCATTTCCTATACGATTTCCAAAAACGCTTTGGTGTTTGGTTATGAAGCTCGTTGGGAAATTGGGATGGCAACAGCGAACGTAAAGCCGAATATCCAATCAAATTGAGAGCTTCTAAAGGAAGCCTTACTGGCTGTAATAGACTCAGAACCTTGATAGCCGGATCTACGCTGGCTTTCACATATGTAACTTTGACCAGTTTTTGCACTGGAACTTAAAGTAAGATAAAACCACTCTTGTACAAACCTAAATTGTGACTTCCGTTGTAGCGAACATAGATCTTTAGAAGTTTTCCACTCCTCGCCAGGTTGAAAGACGCAAGTGCGCTGGATTTTTTATCTTCTGACGTTAATAGCGCTTCAAAAGTCTCTGGAAGAAAAACAATGTTTTGGTAAGTACTCACCTTTAATAAACTTTGTTTTGGAAGAGTCATAATAGAGTTGTTTCTTAACCATACACCATCCAGTATACAGTTTGTGGTCATCTCAATTACGGAATCTCATTACCAGTCTAGGATAACAATGCTTGTAAATACGAGAACGTCTAAGGCCCCGCCCACATGTATCTGGATATTTTTGAAAACGGGGAATTTTGTCCTTATGCGTCCACACGTAGCGTATTCGAATCGTTTTCGCCCGTCCACACGAAAACGCTCTATAAGCAACTGTAAAAACGATAGCATCCCTCACAGAGCATGCGTAATGATAGTAGTATATAGTTTATGACATCATCAAATTCGAAAACCTCCATTTTAGTCCGTCCATACGTAGACGAGAAGCCAGCGTTTTTCAAAAGATGCGTTTTCGGTGACCGTTCAGTTACCGGATACGTGTAGACGGTAGGCCAGCCGGAGGAAAAAATCTCCGTTTTCAGACAAAAACGGTTACATGTGGACGCGGCCTAATTTGAATTGAATTGTCAGTCCTTTTGGATTGGCAGCTCTTCCAGTCCTTTCTTTCTCACGCTCTAAATAAGAATCACGGTCCGCCCAAAAGTTAACATACATCCCAAACAACATAGCAAGATCAATCATAAAAAACTCCGGCCCAATCAGAAGAGAATTTTCTTTTAAACGATCAAAAAGTCAGGGAACTAGGTATTAGAATATAACCAACACGTGTGTTTTAACTGGAAAGTTCAAACAGCTGCATTTGCATTCATCTGCATGCTCACCTCTAAGAGGTTCACTAAACGGTATTTGATTCAACACATAAGCTACGTGCAAACTGACGCAAGAACTCCCAACAGTGTTGCCTCCGCTTGCACGTAGATAAAAGTTTGACCGGTTTCAAACTTTGCGCAACAACTCTCAACAACACGCAACAACATGTAACAGGGTGCACAAACGGACTCAACATGTAACATCCAACAATACTGGGAGTTGTTGGCCAACAACGTTGCGCCGTTTGCACTTAGCTGCCGAAAGTTTAATTTACGAGACTATATCCAAAGAACTTGAAAGTTGGAATTCTGACGGAAATAATTAAGATAGAGGTCCATTTGTTTTCATCAATATTATAAACAGCACTTTTCTTATCTTTTCAGCAAAGAGAGAGAATAACAAGAGAATTTGAAAAACAGCGATGGCATCAGTATCCTTGCATCGATCACGCAAGTACTTGAAGACAGAGAGTAGGTTTCGGGCTAAAATTTTACTTGGCTTAATCCGATCCTTTTAAATACCAGAGGAAAAAAAGGTCTTAATTAATAGTCAGTGTATTTACAGCAAAGTTTAATAAAAGAGCTTTTTTATATTATACATTCACTCTGGAGTTACGAGAAAGGCCGAGTCTTTGCAGGGGAAATGGTGTGCCATTGTCCCAAGTTATTTTAAGACTCTGAGTATTGGCCCCTTCCTGGGGATCGAACAGGCAACCTACCGCTCCACAGTCCAGCGCTCTAACGACTGAGCTACCAGTGCAGTGACTGGTTAGATTTAAAATTGCCAACTTATGAGAAAAACTATCAAAAAGGTCAAACAAAACCCATATCTTGATCTCCATTAAACAACCTTATGACCCCTTTTATATTATCCATTCAAAAAGAAAATGCCATTAAACAGTGATTAAAACAATAAACTGTTTTAACAGAGCAAATATCAAAATCAGCATTAACTGCAAACAACAATGACACAAAAACAAACAATACAACCACGATAAACACAAACAATACATGAGAACTTAGCACTTGCATTATTAATATTAAAAGCACTTGTAGATGCCATGTTTCTATCATTAGAGACTCTCTTGTGCGCGCCATCTTGAGAACAGCGTGTAATTTGGTTGAGAACTGAGTCTCAGTGGGCCATTGAGAGGGATATCTGAAGTGACACTAAGTTTCGGAATAATCCCTTCTGTGTTTCAATATATCTTGACCTCTTTGTTACGATTTCGTGCATTTTCTCGGCTTAGAGTCGTATGCATGCATTTGCTTCGATATCTGACTCATTCAGATACAAAACATCATCCACGATTGAACTATTCACAAAAACGTTTAGTGACTGTGCGCCTCACCAATCGAAACCATTTCTTTAAAAATATGCCATTTTATTTATTAGATTTGACCTCTTAAAACTGACCTCTGCCCTTCATCGACAAGACAACACTTTTGTAAAGAAACTGACACCACTCGGACGCAAACACCGCCTCGTCACTACCTTACGAACGCTCAGGGCTATATCAGCAGAGCATCGTTTCGCATTTGTCCCCAATCTCGTTCCCAGAATCCGAGTGTCACTTGTCCAGCACAACGGACACCAACACCGTCTTGTCATTACCTTACGCATACGCAAGGCTATATCAACAGAGCACCCTTTCCTACTTGTCCCCAATCTCGTTCCCAGAGTCCGCGTTTCCCTTGTCCGGCGGAACAGGCAACGGGGGCCTCAGGTCTCAGTGGACAAAGGTAACAAGCATTCTGGGAATTAAATTGACTTGCCCCGTGTAACTGTTCCTAGCTGAATTATCCGGTTACTAAGGCAATGACACACACAACACCACTACCTGTCACTTAAGATGGCACGCACCTATTCGGCGCTCCCACGATAAACAACTTACCTTCTGAGTAAGATTTGTACAATGTAATGTCCCCAACAAGGGCTGCTGCGTTTTGCTTTTTGAGTTTTAACATGAAGCTCAATTTTCCCCGTTTGAGAGATTCGATCTGCTTATTATTGAGTTGATTCCATACTAGACACACCTGTAGAAAACAAGTAAAGTTAAATTACAACAGTATTATCCATTACCTCTCGCTTCCAATTGAAATAGTGTCAAAAATAACGTATTCGCTCTTAACCCTTTACCTCCGAGAAGTGATTGGCATATAACTTCTCCTTAAAATATTCAATACATTGTCGAATATAGAGGTAGGGAGAAAAGACAATTTTATCAGCCAGAGGATGTTACATTGATATAACCCCGAATTTTCATAATTAACATCCAAACAAATATATAGGAGTCAGAAAGGAGAATTACTAATCAGTCCAACACTACGAGCTTGTTTATATATTTGCGATAAAATAAATCAACGCACCTGGGACCCATTTATGGCTTTCCGTTGAATATTAAGCTCTTTTATCGTTGAGCCTTCAGGGTCCAAAAAAGACGCCATGCGGGGTTTGCGAGATCTAGACAAAAATATACAAACAAATAAATAAATAACATAAAATATTTAAATATTTTGTAAGCGTTACAATTTCCAATACTGTTCGGTTGTTTTGGTGCATGAAATTGAGCAATGACGCTATGTTCACACTGCACTGGACGAATTTTCAATTGGTTGACAATTCTTGAACGGTCCCGTGTAAACGACGTCTCCCGTCAAATTCTACAGCCGGAAAATTCGATCGATGGCGTATTGAAGGTAGCCTGGTTTGAAAGGCATCATCAACCTCTTTATCCACCGAAGGACAAAATAAGATGCATATTTAATAATAGAATAATCCTTACCCTTCATAGCGAATTGATATGTGAAGGGAGCTCCTCACCAAAGTGAAGTGTGCGCGTGCGAGACCATTTTGTGGGGTACTGGAGACTCCGCGTGTCGTCAGCAAAGACACAAACTCTAAAAATGTAAAAAAGGTTTAAGAACTTGATCATTTGTTTCCTCTTCTCTATGGTTTAAGTTTTATTAGTGGTCCCAATTCAGGTTAAATTGGCACCGAAAATGATACAACATGAGTATAGAGAAGAACAAAGCTATTTTACTGTACTTTCCTTTAATACAGTGTTTTTAGCTATGGTAACTCACAAACAATGATAATTATATATTTGTTCCAAGCGTTTCAAATGCCAAAGATGGAGAAGACAAGGTTTGAACAATGACCACCTTCGCCGGGCCTAATGCTATGCCGGGCAGATTGTGAATGATGGAGATGTTTCGTGATGGAAGGCGGACCAAAGGTCGATTCGATAGGTCTAAGGAAGGTAGGTCTGTAAAACCCTTTTGTTTCACCCCAAAGCGTCCATCGTCTTCCAACGAGCGAGCCCTCAGGGAGCTTAAGGTCTCGGTAAATAAAAATTTTAGTACATTGCTCGATTTTGTTTTTTTTGGATTTTTGGCATGAGTGGGTCCTAAATTTTAATTTGGCAGAAAAAGAAAATCAGAAAGTGCTTTTTAACCCTTCTAAAATGAGCCTTTTCTGAGCTAACCATTTAAATCTTTAGTGATTTTCTCTCATATTTTAGACGCAAAAAATCAAAATTCTCAAGTCGGGACCCTATCGCTTTGAAACTTTCAGATATGATGGATAATGATATAGACTCAAAAAGGGTGTGAGGAATTTTCCGATTTCCCTTTGTAACTCATTTTATGTCAGTTTCTTTGAAATTTCGACTTTTTAGTTTGAAATGCAATAATTCCGCTAACACGAGACATCTGCAAATTTCCTCACACCCTTTTTTAGGTCTTTTATCTGTCAATCAGATGCAATAAAAAGGAAGTGAATATTTAACAACGCGAAAGGGCTGGAGCTTCATAAACTCCATACCTCTGAGTTCGAGAACAAAAACTTAAGCACCTTTTGAAATTCGATGAAATAAAATCTTTTATAAGGTAATTTAGTCTTTTAGCTTTAATTTGATATGTAACTTGCCTTTGTAGCGAAAATACTCGCGCGACTAGAATTTTTTTCTGTGGGCACCTCGTTTTCCTTTACCGAGACCTTAAGAACGCTCATTTCATGTGACTTTGCTACAAAACCTTCTCTGATCTAATTGGCTGTAAGGTTTTTGGCGGGAAAAAGTGAACCTATAAATAGCCTGAAACGCTAACACGCTAGGAACAAGATAGTGAACGCTCCAGCGTAATGAGCTCTTGAGTCGAGTTTCTTACCGTCGGGGCAAGATGCACAACATTGGCCCTTCTCAACTCGCGGCCTTGCGCAAGATGTTGCTGGACAGCGGTGTCGCTTATTACGACAGGCCACTTTTCCATCTGTCTCGGAATTTGACACCTGCGAATAAAAAGAAATCTTGTATGAGAAAAACGCTGAATTACCCTTGGGGAATACACCTGGGAATTTTTGGTGAGAGTGTGCCGCCGGTTCTCCAGTCTGAGACCAAAACATGGCATTTTTCACACCCGTTTTCAGACCTGGTCTCTGAGAAAAAATGTCTAGGTCTAGATTAGAACACCAAATAAAAGATTTCTTAAAATTCACGTCGAACTCATATATTAATCTTCCTTTCTTATTCATTTGGAATTGAAACGACAAATAAGCTCACACAATCCCGTAGTTCCCTTGAAAACCATACCCGGTTCCGGATCAACTCTGGGTACCGGATTACAATAGTTTTTTTTCTCCTGAGGTAAAACGGCAGACGCGTCAATCACCTCAGTCTGTAAACTAGAATTTCGAAGGAAAATCAATGCCTTGTTTTCATGCTTTTCCCTTGTGTGAAAAAACCTCTAGGTTTTATCGAACCATCGTGCTATACAGAATGGAAAACTACCGATTGAGCTGCTTCATCGAAAGTTAGACTGGCATCAATAAACTATTGATAGATAGTACTGTCTTTCCTAGGCGTAGTTCCATTAAGGACCTTATCGTTATGGCTTCAGAGACTGGTGCAAAGTCAAAGGTTATAAGAACAAAATGTGCTCGTGCCACTTTCGCATATCCTATTGCAAGATGCTTCTTCTTTGCACGACATATTTTTACGAATTGAGAAGTCAGGGAGTCTTTAACGCACAATTCCAAAGTTGCTGCATCTCAGCGATTGCGATAGTTCGACACCCTTTTATAAGAGAATCCCGTTAATATATAGCCGCGCAAGCGCAAATCTGTGAATATTATGCCGACGGAATGCTATACTATATTCGTAAAATACAGATTGACTTATAAAGGCGTTCAATAATCTTAAGCGCGTAGCCTGTTTCTCAAAACACCAGTCTCTTCAAGTTGCCTTCTCAGTCTCCTCGCGTGTTGTTACATAAAAAGACTGATCTCTGCTTTTTTCACGTGCACGTATTGGCAAATACGTGTCTCTTCAAACAAAGAACGCGTTGAATTCAAAACGTCCGTTTTGAATAGCAATAATCCCCTCTTTTTGCGGTCGCTTTGCGTGTGGTGAGAATTAATGTTTATACGGAACACGCTTTCTTGCATTTACGGAGCTAGTCACTACAACAAATAAACTTCCTTTGATAACAATCGATTTAGCGTCGCCAAAGTTCTCTGCTAACCTCAGAAAGGTCACGTTATAATTCTTGAAAACAATATGGTCACAGGCTCAGCTCTGAAAGACGTCTTAAAATGCGACCTGGCAAAGGCAGCTGTTCCCAGCCGTCCAGGAAAATTATTTTGTCATTTATGAATGACAACAAAGGCTATTGTTAATATTTGTTCTTGAGATTATTTTAATTGGCGATTGAATGCTTTTCCAAACAAATAAACATTATGGTGTTAATTTAAAATGACAAAGAAATGAGGGGGTCCAAAATGCTTGGGAAGATAGCAGGAGTTGGCAACTCCACCGGCAGGTTAATCTAGCTCGCTGGGAGATCCATCGTCACAATCGAAGCCTTAATTGCACTATTTCCGATAAAAATGCGATTAATCTTCTCTTAAGTGTTATAGCCTTTTGACTTACAAACCTCCAAACAAGGATTAGGCTATGATTATCACATTTCACTTAGTAAGATCCTGCCGAAAAGACTTTGTATTATGCAGGAATGGGATTGGAGAGTACTTTTATATAGTTATCTCTCAAACTTTTAAACTGAGTAGCACGTTTTCATGTTCAAATGCTACATGTAGTTTTGCATGTTTTATTTTCAACTCCTTTTGTTATCTGATATTTCTTATCCAGGATAGGGTAAGACACGTGCGATCTCCAGACTGTTATCTGAAAAGCACGATCCAATGTTCTTTAGCCTTTTTTATTCTCAGAAAAGGTTGAGTCAAATTCAAGGAATTTCGCCCCAAATTTGGTCTTGTCTATTACTTAAAAAAAGACCCGTGAAAGTACTGCAAAATATATGTTTCTACGGGTTGTCCTCTATTGACGTACCTCTACGACACTGGAAGTAAATTAACTACCCTGAGGAGCAGAGGTTCTTTCCTGTGTGGCTTTTAGCATTTACGAAGTCTTTCGCGTCGCTGTCCGTGGCGTAGTTGGCATGTGTGCGACAACTTTTCAGAAATACTAAAAGCTGTGCAAGAGCGAAACCTGCTAGCAGGATAGAAGTTGATTGAAATGTTGAACACATAACGAATTTCACATCAAGATTGTCCGCAGTCATTTAACCAACATGTGCTTTTCAACGTACTCGTCTGCTTTCGGTTCACCTCGGATTGTATAAGAGCCGTGTGTTTTATTTAACCTTTTGCACTCTATAAAAAGTTGGCCAAAGTGAAAAGATAATTCAACAAAGTTTCCAAATTTCATTACTTGAAATGCTGAAAAATAGATAGTGGCATGTGAAAGCAATAGCGAAGAGGTTCGACTTGAATGGTCCCCCCGTAGCAATTTCCTCCTCCAAAGATTCTAAAGCTGCAACCATGCAAGACTCGCTCGATCCAACACACCCTGGAAAAAATCAAACCTCACCTTGTTGCACGTGCAAATCACGCAATACATGACTCCAAAGGGAGGGATATCAGGATTCCAAGAATCTCCAATGTTATAGTGCAGACTACCAAAGATACAACCTGTCAAAGGAACAAAATGGAAACACTAGAGATCATTCAAGTGCCGGTTTCTTTCAAGATTTTTTGTTTTGGGTAACTTAAGCACACTGTTCTTAGTAAATTCAAAAGGTAGCCTTTATAAACCAAAGACGAGCAAAGTTCACATTTTGAAAGAAAAATTCCAAAATTTTGAAACTTTTGCACGAATAAGGGAAAAGTTGAGAACATTATACAGTAAAAGTGTTATTCACGGCATTTTCACTGTGAATCGCACAACTCAGTTTGCGGTTTCACCCAGAGATCCAACATTGAGATCCCGCCGTTTTGGCATAACAAACAGCCTTGCAGGAGTGATAACTACCTTACCTTAGACTTTTACTGAAGGGTCAAAGTTAGCGCAATAAAAATTTACAGTGGTACAGAACAACACTCCTCAACGATCTAACCGTTTCACCGAATATAGACTTCAACGGCTCAAAATGTCATGGCATGTTGCCTGCATAGCTGATGTTCTCGTTCGGGGATGGAACAAGTCAGAATTAGTTGTTGAGGAAACTTTGGTCACGGTGGGTGAATTTGTGCAGTCTCGCGAATCGGTGGCGGAGAAAAAAATGACGAAAGGCAACCTCTCAAAACCAGTCAGCTTTTCAATCGATAGTGATTAGCCGGGCAACTTTCGTTATTTTCATGGTACACTGCTTTACAAGGTAGGAGAATTAACACAGAGTGATGTGCACAGCGACCCAGTATACTACTACTACTACTACTACTACTACTATCACCTACGACCTTTTTTTTTGGCGGTCAAAGTACAATGTTTAAGAATTCAAGTAAAGGAAGCAAAAAGTATCAATTTTCTTTAGTAAAGCCGGAATGAGCGGATTTCGGAAACACAATTTTGAAAATGTTCTATTGAATTTTCCAGCACTTGAACACTCGACCACTATCATGATTCCTTAAGTAGCTGATGTCTGAGTTAATGGTATAAGACGTTTATTTTCAAAGCAGTTGCTGTGGAAATGTTTAGTTCACGCAATTTCCATGATACCTAAACGCGAGTTTTACGAGCATGGCGACCTAAATCGATTAACCTAGAACGCGGAAAATAAAACTTCAACTAATATACCGCGAAAAATGGTATCACAAGCATGTAGCTAATTATTACTGAAAAATTCTTGTGGTAAAGCTCGCTGTCTACCTTCCCATGTCCGGTAAGACTGGCCTCATGCTTCGAAAGTTTGGAACGACAAGGAAAAGAGAACCAAAAATTCGTGAGAAAATTAGGGAAAATAATGGCTATGTTTAGTGCGGAACTTAACTCATTGATTTCCAACTTTCATACAAACTTCGCTTTAGTTTAGGTTATGAATGCACCACGAGAAAGTCTATCTCCCTCAGAATAAGGATGATCTGTGTGAGCTGTGAGGTACTAAACGTTTGTGTTTATAGTAATTCGTGGATTTTCGAATTGCTAATTCAACAACAATTTAGAACATTGAACTTTCGTGTCTAAATGTCAAACGAGCGCAAGGGCTTTAAGGACCGGCGTTTAGGAAATAGAAAAAAATGAACCTGAATAACATAACTTACGCCATAGTACTTACCTCCGGATAATTTTGGAACAACTGCCTGATATTCCCTCCCGACAGGTCTAAGGACTAACTTGTTCTTCGCTGACAAACACAGTTGAACGAAAGTTATTAAGATCAAAATTTCCATAAATAAGTGATCCTTCTTTAACTCCATCTCTTCTGACAGTGTCGGCTTAGTTTGTGAAGTAGAAAGCGTGAGAATATCATCCGTGAGGATGTCAAAATAATACTTGCGCTTCCAAACAACTCTCGCTAACTATGGCCCAAAACAAACATTACCCTGATTTGCACCAGCGACAATATTTATTTTCATTGTTCGTCAGCCAGCTCTTCTTGTTTTCGCCCCCCTTCGACGTTATTTGTTCTATATAATCTAATATCGTCACTTAACTTCCTATGTTTAATAATTTGACTCGTGACGAAGATGACTGACATCGGCGAACAACACTCCACTTGATGCCCCCATATCTGGTATGCACGTGAGATTAGACAATCTATACAGTGATTTCATGTAACCCTTCTTAACTTGAGTCAGTGTTTTAAAAAAGCAACAGATCTGCAGGCTTGAGTCTGATTGTTGGTTTTTGCGGATGAGATTTATCGGTGTTTAGATAGAATTATATCGTTTGTGTACTCAATTAGCTCGTTTGTTCTCTTAATCTTTGTTTTGTAGATGATGAGGTATCAAAAGCTAGCAAAGCGTTTATTCAAACATCATATCTAGTTGCACATTCGTTCGACAATCAGACCCAACAAAAAGACTTCACACTTTCAGCTGGAAAAACAAACAAAAGCGCTGAGGTGGTCTCGACACAGATCAACACCGTTACAACTCAGACCCAACTCAATTCTGAAACTTGCGAGTTGCTTTCATCTTGTATCATAATATTGATGATTATTTTATCTTATTTTGTAAACATTTTTATCTTTTCAGCGACTTAAGCCCATCATAGCCTAGTCTACGTTATTTTTTCGTTCTCAGACACAATGGCCGCCTATTCTACAAAATAATCAACAGAAACTTTTGAGGACCTACTCGTTGCATGACTTATATTAAAGAAAAATCGCACGAAAATTGCCTTAATCATGGCACAACTGCCATAGAGCCAATGATTTTGTCGATCTCTCTACAATTTTGGACGATTCTTTAAATCTTACCATCTTCTCAATATTTCAACTGGCTTAGTTACTCTGCCGCTGTATTTATAAAGACAAACGCAATACAATAAAAATCGATTATCCTGAGGTTTTGACGTATGTCTTGTGTTGGTCGAGTATGGAAAGAATCTCTACCCTTCACTAAAAAAAAACCTTCCCTTGACGTAATGTCCCAGTTTTTCCAGTTTTTACAAATTTCTAAACTAACCCGCTGCCTCTACAAGGTGCTTGCAAAACAAAGCCATAGCTCGCTGTAAAACTGGCAAGGGTTTTTGACGTAGATGCACTGCTGTGTTGAGATGGTATGGATGGAATCTGTTCTAGAGGCAACTAATAAGTGGAAGAGTGTCCTGTTCAAGTGCAAACCTTGATTAGATTTGACCTCGAGACCTAAACGCGCGGAATTCGAACTCAACGCATTCTAGATGCTGTATTAAAGACTCGTGCATACATTTTAGTTGTCTCTCCTGGGAGTAGACATCAAGCCATGTCTAAATGCATTACTATGGTGATGTACTTATTTTCCTTTTTCTTTTTCGAACACTCATTTATTAAAACCCTTGCATTCTAAGTAAGCATCATGTAATTTGATGGCATAATAAGGTTTGCGGTGAATGATAATCAATCAATATTTTGTTCTTTGGCAAGTAAAACTAGATAAAGGGTTTGCTCTTCAAGCCGCCCCTCCTTTCATCTTATTGTTAAGTGTTGTTTTTGCACTGGAGCAAAACTTTACCGCAGTCATCGTTACACAAGCTATTGAACCAGAAAAGCGTACGTAAAATAAGAAAATATTACCACTTTGCATCTTTTAAAAACTTTTGACTCACCGCTATTAAACCATGGTAACGTTCTGTTAGTTTTTTAAAAAAATTAATTTAAAAAAATGATATATTTTTACTGAATCAATTGTGATTTTCTACTGGCTCTTGAGTTTAAGAGGCCGGGTTCGATGAGCAAATCATCCGGCAAAATATTAGCGTATAAAAACACTTCAGTCCTAAAGCATGGCGGCGTCTGCCCGCTGTGTGCTACAGAGATTTGAATCAGTACAAAACACCGCCTTTTCAACCGTTTGTGCATGCTATGTTTACCGACCGGAAAAAAATAACTCGTGACGCAGCAAAGACTGCGTTCATAACACTTACGTAAGTGATCGACTACCAGGCATAATTGTGAAAAAAGAGGGGTCGAGCATCTGGAAGTGCCGGATTGGCTAACAGTCTGACTGAAGTTCGCATCGGTGCCTTCTAGACCAACCTATGAAACGAAATACAGCTGCATGTAACCCCTAGCGTGTCTGGCCGGTTTACTAGCTAAAAAATCATTATCACCCAAAGTACCAAAATATTTCCAGAAAAAGTCCTAGATTTCATATGGTAAAATGTTGAAAGACTAATGTGAAAGTATTGCAGAAGAAGATTCATTTGAATACTCATCGCATAGGATTTCTTCCACGACCGACTCATACCCTTTATCCCGTCTGACATATACCCTTTGTTCCTTCACACTTGAATATAATGGCAAAAAAGAGATCGAGTTCTAATGTCCGATTGAGCTCTAAAGTTATTTACGCCAAGGATAACCATTTTTTTCGGCTAAATGAAAAAGTTTCCCATGTTTTTTTCGCCCAGAGACACACCCGTAAGATCTATGGACTATTAAGCTTGGCCTTTTGCGCAATTTTTTTTCCAGTTACATTAATATTCGTGCTTGTCCAAAAAGGAAGATGAAATTAAACTATATCGACTTGTCTGCGTATTATAAAGAATGCAAAACTATTTCTGGCAGAACGGAAACGCTTACAAGAGATTCTAGAAGAGATGCAATCAACATTGTTATTACTTCATTCACAGCTGATTCCACAAGCACGGGAGAAAAAAATCTGTCGTTGAAAAAATATATTCAAAAAAATGTGGATGAAAAGGAAAGTGGTGAAGAGCTACTAATGGATTCGTCTTCAAACCTGCGTTGTGATAATCTGTTTACCTTTTTCAAGAAAGTTCTAAAGTCCGTGTTCAAGCCATGTTTCAAACAATATCAATCTGCCAGGGCAACCTCCAAGAATGGCTACTCTCAGATGTTATGAAGGGGCGAGAAACGTTATTCTAGACGGCTTAAGTGGCAATTACTTTAGCCCGTTGCTGAAGATTTTGAACGGCAGTGCTATGAAGAAGTTGTGACGTGTTCCCTTTTAAGGCAGTTAACGTTCATAGCAAGAAAGTCTTTTTACGATTCCAGTTCCGTTTATTTTGTTCAATATGCGCACTTCGATCTGTATACTTACAAATTTAGCTGTAAGGCTACTGTGCATCTCATAGACTTCGTGCGAAATGACATGGCTTTTTGTTGATATTTCCACTAGCAGTGCGCGAATTTCTAACTTCTATAAAAAGGAATCATAAACAGATTAAACGCCATTAATTCCTCGGCTCTGTCATAAAGCTCTTTCGAGAAGCCATTATCACATCAAAGTGCGCATATTTGAAAAGAATAGAGAATATATTTCACTTTCAGTGGTTCTGCTCGGTACAAATGTCGACAGCTGATTTGTAAACATTACTCAAGAACCTGCCAAAGTTGAAATTGTATTAAAGTTTAGTAGTCTGTTGCACAAATGATAGATAGCTTCTTGAGTTGGCAGTCTCTTCACGACTTGTTCTTTTTACCAGTGTAAATGTGATGCCAGCTACATTCAAACAGGTTAAAATTGTACGCCTGCCTTTGAAACTGTTTTTCTTATCAAAATTTACTGTTGCTATTATTGGATCACTTTAAGTGGTAACGTCAACAAACGAAATCAAGATTAAAGATTCTAAATATAAAATGCAATTAGACGAGATAATTAATTGCTTGTTATAGTGCTCAGTTTCCTTTTTATTGTAGGCTGTAGTGGAAATAGAATTCGAGGTTTGTGCTCTGCCGGGTTAATGTCTCAATCTGCAACGCTTGCACCGTTTGGTGACTGAAACGTAACCGCTTTGAGTCTCTGGAATTAGTACCCCAAGTAATTATCAACGTGCGAGCCAAATCATACGATTTTCCCTTTCTGGTATTATGCTGGAAAAGCTGGTTCTAATTTTGAGTCTGAGGATGAGGTTTTTTAAAAAGTGTTATTGTTCAAATGAAGTCTATTCAACTCTACTGTGGATTTTGAAATCGAATGCCAATTTAGATGAAAATTCTCTTGAAGATGCAAGAATTCCTTAGTCTCAGAAGATTGAACTAAAATCCTAGTTATGTGTAAAAGTAGAACTCGCTGGCTGCACCTTATCAGGCCCTAAAAATATTGAATACATGTACTGCATATTTAAATGATCTGTTTGCACCGAGAGACCCGTTTCCACAATCCGCAAGGCTGAAATTGTTATTACTTTTTTCCAACCAAAAAAAAATGCAAAGGGCCACTCGAGACTATTAAGAGTGGAGAATGCGTTTACTAGACGTCGGTCCATTACTCAAATTGCACAGCAGCAAAACTTTCAAACTGGCGTGTTTAGGGAAAGGTATGTTTGTATACCTTATACCTGAAACACAAGCTCTTTTCACTGCGGAGTGCTTTTAAACTCGGCTAACTATTTTTTTTTTGAACCGCACATATCAAACAATTTTACTTTCAATAGTTCGTGACCCACTATAGCGGGCGATCATCAAATTGGATCATTAAAGTAAAATAGTAAAATCGTAGAAGATTGTCTAAGCATGTCAATCTTCTGACCACAAACAAGTTGAAGTCGCTTTCTCTCTAAGAACAATGAACGTAAAATCAACATATATATTTACTTTTGACCAGCGCAAGTATTTCTCTTTGTTGACTGAAATCTTTACCAAGTTGGAGCTTTAAACAATTTAAAGTTTGTTTTGTTTTTTAATATATAGTTGCAGTCGCGTGACTTTGTGTCTGTTTCTCAAGTTAGAAGGCGTTTGTTATCGTCTCAATCTAAATGGTATTATCAGAATATAAAGGAGCCATACCAAACAGGAATCAACAGACTTCATGTTTGCACTCAGCACACGCATGTCCTGCCACTGTAATACTCTAATGGTTGGATCTGAATGTATTTCCATTTCAGGCTAATTGAAAATTTTAGACTGCGGGGGAAGAAACACTACAACTGCGGCTTCATTCGCCCTTCATTTTCTATGAGATACATGGAATCATGCAATGGCCTTCGAACCTACGCTAATATATTACTACATTAAGGATCTCTCAAGACTGATACAATGTAACTGTGAAAGGCAAGATATCATCCGGGGGGGAGTTGTAGATGTGTACTGTTCGACTACAACGGGTGGGGAGGAAAAATTAGTACTTGATTTTTTAGGGCTAAAGTAGAGAAAAACGTTTAAAAAATTCCTCGAAGATTCATAGCGCAGACAAGCGGACGTTCGGTCAAGATCACTGTATTCCACCAGCAGTCTCAACGTCAGGAATATACTCACCTTACCATGAGGAACGCAGTACTAAAGGTACGGTGAATGTTGATATACGTATACATATATTCACTGTCAATGCTCATCCCTGGCTTCCTAAAAACACAAGGTAAAAGTCGTATATGCCGGCCAAACTCCTTTTTACGACAGATGGGCTCAAATTAGCCACAAAAATTGAAATGATCAGTCCTGCCTTAGCCTAACATCTAAAGAGGACGTTGTTTAAAAGAGTCCTTTTTCACTCAAAAAAGGCCTACTAAATATTCTGCTATAAGCCTAGGTTTTGCTCTATGCAAACTGGAAGGGTCTTGAAGAAGTGCGAAAAAGGGAACGATACGATGGTGAGGAGATGGGGCTAGAGGTAAGTCAGGGGATAAAAAGGAGTGATAGCTAGAAATCCGTCCGCCCTCCCACGACAATTCGTACCAGAAGAAAATACTACTCAGTTGTTGACATTTTTTCCAAGGTCCAAACCAGCCAGGCCATTTGTAACTTATCAGTCTATGGATCCTGCAGCCCGCCTGACCCTAAAATAGGTGAGAGCACCTTTAAACTTAGCCGTCAGGGAGACTGGCCGGTGAGCTTGAGTCAGATTGTGGTCGAGATTTGAGAGGGTGACCTTTCCAGATGCAAATGTCAGCTTTTAAGAAGCACTTTCATCGGACTCTCTGTTTATTATTTACCGCAACTTAGCAATTATTTGGTTTCAATAAAAAAAGCTAAGCAGCAACCGCAGGTCCAAATTTCACTGGATGCCAGAGACAAGTGGAGGCTGAGTGAGTCTTAAGTGTCCATTGACTCGCATTGTAACAGCAGTCGTTTTGGCAAAAGAGGCAACTTTAGGAGTTAAGCAACACAGCCAAACAGGAAGAAAACAAACGTTTCACCCGCGAAGAAAATATAACCTTTGAGGGCCCAGGAATTCAAAATGATGAATATTTAAAAAGTATGCAATAACAGGATGAGTTGTTATGAGAAACAGTCCAGGAATAAAAAATAACTGAACAGCATGCGCTGGAAAAAATACAGTGTTAACAATAGTAAAACACCTGAACATAACTAGTACGCTACAAAAAAAATAATAATTGAAAATTATACCATTGAGCCAGTATATAGGGCTATATTGGACGATGTGGGCGATCGCATAGTTCTCCTAAAACAATAACACTTCTTTACGAGCGATACGCACCTAAACAGTTTTTTCGAAACCTTGTCTTACATTACAACACAAGCTGATCGTGTAAAATCGACACTACGCTGCAGAACTGACTGCCGGCTAAGATTTCAGCTTCCCCTAACATCACTATGTTGGCGCGTATTTTCAGTAATTTCACATGTCATTCAGATTTGAATATCTACACGTATTTCATATCATAACCATCAGGAAAATAAGCGCTCAACCAATATGAACTTATGATTTTTATTTGACGTCTTAAATGAGCTCACTTGCCAGATATTGTTGTCCTTGTACATGACTAAGAAGGTCAACAGGAAGAATTGTTGTTGTCGTTGTTTTTTTTTTTTTAACTTATTCATCCTATAGTCAAAAGACAGTGTGTCTTATTGTAACTTTTGACTACGGGGTTCTAGTTCAAGTTCCAAGGAGCCAACAATTGTGTGGATTATGATTTTTAAAACATTCTTTGTGATTGGCTAAAAACTCACGCCCCCTTTCTTAGCCAATTAGAGGTAAGATTAAAATCAATCGTAAACTGCTCGTGCTGGAAATTGCTGGGAATATTATTTAAGTGCTAATACAAACCCTCTTGATTCTAATAGTCACTTGGGAAGAAGTTGAAGATGTATTTAGCCTCAGAGACGTGCAAAAGAGTTTCCTGACGCCTTAACTACGCCTTAACAAATCTGCTTTTATAGGAAACCATTCAAACTCAGCTTTCATATCTTTCCTTGCAACAAAAGAAAAATTTACAGATAACTCCTGTCCCTTGGAATCAACCTTATATCACGTGACTAAAACAGTCCAATTCTAGAGGTGCGTCGTCATGAACACAGAAAGGGTATGGGGACGAATTTGCAGTTTCGATTCTTTGGTTGCTTACAGAAAAAAACCTTTGGATGCGAAAATGTTACGCACTTATACCACACAATAACTTGTCCTATTTCCATGGAAACTCGCTGCTAATTCTGCAGGTGATAGTCTTGACAATTATAAGAGAATCAACAGGTAAAATTTGCCGTTAATGACAAATTCGTTTTACTTGGAATTATTTTCCTATCTGACAGCGCGAGTGTGTGTTGGTTAGCCATAATAAAAGGATATTTCTGTTTTTTCACCTCTAGTAGCCTATATGTGCTTCCAGTGCCAGTTTTGATAAGTTTAAAAAGTTCCAATTTCAAGAAAACCTGAATCCGTTTAAATTTTCATATCACTTTAGATTACATCATTGGTCCTTCTTTATCATAACCCGTCATTTCTTCTTAGCCGCAGTTATGTTGTATTTCTAACTTTGTTTTTCTAAATGGCAAGCTGGCAGTCTGGTTTTCCTTCATCGCTTATCGCTTTTTTCAAAGAATCATCGGAGGTCAGTTTTTTTCTCCGACTGACTGCATCTAACTTCACGGGTCATGACTACAGCTGAAAAATATTACCAGTCATGATGTGAAGAGCTCGCCAAGGTGTTTTTTCACTAATCACACGGTTCGGTGAAACCCATTCGGATGATTGATTCCCAATCTGAATCTAGCCGGTGACATGTCCAATGTGACATTAGTTCGTTACGCTTTTATTGTGTTCCTAATTTGAAATCATCTGCGTCGACAAGGTATGACAAATCAACCCTGCCCACTGTACGCATGGCCACCCGACCGTACTCGTCTTCATACCAACAAACTTGCGTAATGGTTTTCCCCTTGTGCTCGCTGATCGTACTTTAAAGGGTCATTGCCTTGTTAAGAGACTAAAACAACGTTGTGCCCGGCTGGTTTTATATTATATGAGCAGCGCAGTTGTTTTTGGGCTTTGCTGCTACAGATCCTTATGGTGAAATTGTTTTTATTTCGTCTGGGATCATTACTAAGTTTACTAATTTTGCTTGTTTGGGAAGCATTTTATAGCCAAAACGAAGCAAACTACGCAGGTATCGAATCTTAATCTTTGAATCAACGTCAACTCTGTTATTTTGCATATATTGTTGCTGATCCTAAAATTGTTTTGTGCTAGAACCATCAATTCTATCTTACTATAATGATTATTATTTTTTTTTGGTAGAAAGCAACAACTTCAAGCGTCAAAACGTCTATACATTTACAGAGAATGTTTGGAAGGTAAGCGGTATTTTTGCAGACAGTCGATATGGTTGTCTGTTTCAAACTGTTTCCCGTTGCGATTCAGTCATAACCTCTAGGGCAACATGTTAGTGCTTTCTCCTAGACGTGATACAATGTACTTATATTTAACACTCGAGACCATAACCCTGTTTAGATGGCTGAGTTCGTATAGTATGCGAGTATTAAGGTTCAATGAATCAAGTGTTGGCTTAGTTCTGGAACGTAGACCAAACAGTTATACCGGCAATCTGAAAAAGAGCCATATGCTTTTAACAAAGGACACTAGCTCCCTAAATCGTCAGATTTACCGACAATAAATTGCATACTCCCATATTCAAGGGGTTTTAGCCTCTTGAATGAAAATTCACTTAAACTATCAACGGATCGATGAGGTAACCGGCGGGCTTCCCTGATAACTGAATGGCTTCAGTTAGTTTACAGGGTCCCTCCCACGCTATTTAAGTGTGCCCTTACAATTATTCAGTACTCGGGGGCCAAACCAATCCATTCGTAACTGAAGAGAATTCCACTATTAGTCAGGACGGTCCATTCAGATTAGGTCCGTTCTTTAAAAAAATGAACGGCAGTGATGGTTTTTAAGTTTAAACTCTTGAAGAGAGCCTACTCTTTTTCAAAATGAGTGATACGAATGCCCAGTTGTGACTTTTTAAGCGCATAAGTTGGGAAAATACACCATCGTCGACTTTGCCAAAATTTTTAATTAGAATAACATAACAGTAGTGCTATAGCTGGTTGATAACGAAACTCTTGAATTCGGGAGCGGCAGCCGAATTTATAGACTGAATTAGTGTATTCGAAAGAATCGTACGTACTCCCTTTTTAAACTGAGTCGAACAGCACAATCTGAAACACAAAGATATTTAGGCGATTATGTTTCGAATGCAGGCCGGTATTGAATTAAAAACATATTGTATTCTTAAATTAGTTTTCTGCAGATTAAACATTTCTGTTCGATTCCAATTCCAATTCTTGTACACATTAGGGCCATTTATACAAGGAAAAATAAGACGCCAACTTTCCGTATAAACGGCACATTTCGTCTAAAATAAGACGCGACTTAGCTCAGACGCGTCTTATTTTAGAACAGCCCTTAACACCTGTTCTTAGATAAGACATGCGTTAGTTTTTGGCGGGAAAATTTTCGCTTGCCCTTCCCGCATATCTTTGAAGCAACGCTCAAAACCACTCCTTCGATCTCCTTCTTCCCTTTTTCTCGGGTTCCTTCTGAACGTTTCCAAGAAAGCATTGTTTTTTATAATTCTGAGGCAAATAAGGGTTTTTGTCATAAGAGAAGACTCCCCCATTTTCATTTAAAAGGTCTTCAAAATATTGTCTCTGCTGCAAATCGCAGCATGACGCCGTAACTTTGAAACGCGCGCCATGTTGGGTTGCCGTTGCTACGGGCAAAATTCACATGGAAACCAGTCAAGGACAGAAATAAGACGCGAACCATTTATACGAGCTGTTTTCGCCTTAGGTAAGACATGCTCGTATAAATGGTACAGTTCGCGTCTTATTTTTCCTCGTGTAAAATGGCCCTATTGTTTACGCTCTATAAAACAAACCGATTTTACTGAATAAATAGGGAATTAAGACATCACCGAATTCCTCTTGAAAACACCAGAGTTCAAAATAACACCAGAGTTCAAAAAGTCAGACGATTAGTTTTGAGGCGGCCTTAAACACTCAAGAGCAAAGTCTCTTGGTATAATTCGAATTTTCCTTGCTGATTTCCCAAGAAGAAGGATCCGTCCACAAGTATCCGGATATTTTCGAATCCGCAAATTGTTCTTTGAGGATTCAAAAATTTCCAAGTCCCATAGTCGTATTCAAATCGAATTTGCCCGTCCACTGCACACGTATCCGGATTCTTTCTTAGTGCGTCAGCTAATTTATAAAGCGATCTTCAGCTCATGCAAAAATTTTATCGCCAATCTTCTTCAATTACTGTTTCACTGACAAAATTCTCCCAACAAGCACTATCAGTTTCGTTCGCTCGTTTAACGTGTTTACGGCCTCCAATTCGTGCGTCCGTAATGTAAAGAAGCTTCAAACTGTCGAGCCGCCGTTTGGCATTATTGAAGTGCACAGTAATCATAGTTACCATAGTTAGGTTTAAATTCACACACGTTATAAGACTTCAAACTAAAGTCCAAGAAGTAAAGAAGCGATATCATTGCGCTCGGCACCGTCTTGAATATTAACGTAGAACCGGGCTCGATCTTGTGACGTCACTGAATAAAAAATATCCGGATTGAACGTCCACCCGAACCCAGATTCATAGCGTATTCAAGAATTTCGACTCCGGAGAGCGGATTCCAAAAGATGGGGATTCGTCTGCTGGATTCACCGGAATACGTGTGGGCGGGTCCTTAGTGCCTGTCTCAATTATGCCTTTAGAAGGACACCATCAGAGAAAATGAATAAAACTAGTAATGACCGAAGGTTACGGAGTGCGGGCGACAACGATCGAAGGTCAAAACGCTTTTGCTTCAATGCTGTGCTTTCGGTAAGTTTCACGTGACAGATGGTCAAAACACGCGTGATCAGATTACGAGTGATAGAAGGTCCAAACGCGCATGATAAATTGCGTTATGTACATTCCATTCATTCTTAGTGGAAGTCCAAACGAATGCTGGCTCATGCTGGCTACATACATGCGACGCATGCGTAATAACAACCTGGAGATTAGGATTGCGGGCTCCTAGCCTCTTGTCGCCAGCAACAAAGCCTTTAAGCCATCTTGCGTCGCATCACTGACGTCTGTAATTGCTGAAATCAAACAGAAATGGGTCTCGCGCGTGTTGCATATCGAAAATGTCCTTTCGTCTTTGCCCTTTGTTTTATGTCATGACGAACGTGTATAATTTTTCCTCTTAGAATAGTCACCAGACACAAGAGCAACGTAAGAAGAGTTTAATAGACTACTGCCACAAGCGAGATCCCAGGGAGCTGCTGCCACCATACACAAAAAATCATGAAATTCCTGCATATTATTTCAGGAATATTATTGTGAACGACAACCACAAACTTCTCTATTGCTACATACCTAAAGTGGCCTGTTCAAACTGGAAACGAGTGCTCATGGTCATGAACGGTGATGCCGCTGATCCGTGGAAGATAAAAACAGCGGACGTCCATAATCGCAGCTTGGGATATTTTCGATATTTGAATCAGTATTCCCCAGAGGAAATTGTACATAGACTCAATACTTATTACAAATTTCTGTTCGTGAGACACCCGTTTGAGCGACTCGTATCGGCGTACAGAAACAAGTTTGTAGACTCATACAATTACACTCTTTTCAAAGAGATGTATGGGCGGTTTATCATACGAAAATACCGCCGCAACGCAGACAAGAAGTCCTTGAAGACCGGTGACGGAGTAAGTTTTTCCGAATTTGCCGAATTTCTCCATAATTCTGATTCCGAATTTATGGACTGGCATTGGAAGCAATATGACACATTATGCCACCCCTGCTTAATTTACTACGACTTTATAGGACATTTTGAAAATTTATACGAAGAAGCTGATCAACTACTTGATATTCTACAAGTGAGCGACACAGTTAATTTTCCCAGAAACAAAACTTCACAGTACAAGCTCTCGACAAAAGTCATAGCCAAACGGTACTTAAACTCGCTTTCTGAAAAGGCCAGAAAGAATCTCTATGACAAGTACAAACATGACTTTGAGATGTTCGGCTATTCAATGGGAGACTATCTTTGACGAGGAAGAAAGTTGTTTTGTTTATCATATACAGGATGCATAAGAGGCAGCGACATACTCTGTACACGAGGGTTTACCTACTTCACGACGCCAATGTAGACCCTGGACCAGTTAGCGCCATTCTGGTGCCTTTGTTCACAGTGTTGTTCAAACCGAAAGAAAAGACCATATGACCAAGAGTGAGCTGCTTAAACTGGTATAAAATCCCACCAAGTGGTGTGAACAGAAATGGAGTAACAAGCCGATACCCAACAACCTCGGTTGTTGGGTTAAATAGGTAATGAATGAATCTGCCTTGTTCAAGTTTCACAAACAATGCCGTTAAGGTAGAGTAGACAGTTAAACCACTGAACATAGGGGATCTGACCTCGAAAGAGGGACAGTTGTATGCTGTCTAAAAACAAACGCTGTAAGACTGAAGTATTCCTTTGACATTCAAACATTTAAAGGAACGCCGACAGTAATAATATATATGAGAGCGTGGCTCATATGTTCATACAGGGAAAGGTGGTCCCAAAATGGACTCCTGAGGGACTGCTTCATACGACTTCTGGGGGACTGCTTCATTTACTGACGTGTTAGGAAAAAGGAGTTGTTTAACGACGGTAAATAGTGTCGCACGTCGAATTTCGAGCTTCAAAAAGGTAGAGAGCAGTTCTGGAACGTCGACAAACCAGTGGTAGCTAGACTGATGTGACAAGACTTAAATGAGTAGAAACTGACTGACTGAGAAACCATAGGGGATCTGCAAAGCCATTACTACCACAATGTTTTCACTGACGGCATTATTTCACTGACACCTACAGATCTATATTCTCCACAAAGGGCATTAAATAAGGCTTTTGGGCATTTGGAATGATTAATATATAATTGACAAACGATAGAAAGACAAGAAAAAACAACAGAAACGAGACATAAAAAACACCGATCACGGACACAACGTGGACACAACGGCCTCGCTGCACAAAATCTTGAGCCTACACATTGGATGAGCTGAAAAAGGACACCCTTAACCTAACTTTTCCCAAATGGCTGTTTTAGAGAATTTTCAAAGTGCGGCTGTGAGACACGGACGTAAATACCAACAGAGGATTCACAATTTTTTGACTCTGAAGATGACTTGATCCTATGACGAGCAAATCTATACGAGAACATAATCGAAAACACGACTTAAAGCTGCACTCGGCGAAGAGTTTCTGATGCTGGAATAAAAAGCAATATCAGGTTAAACATAAAACGAATTGTTCCAGAAAGGTTAACGAAGAAAAATCTGACATAAATTTGAAGAATTTGGGTCGCTGATGACAGGTCAGCTTAAACCGATGCTATGAGCTAGGAGATGGCCCTGAGTGACAAAGGTAATTGATGGTCTCTAATAATGACTGATGAATGAACCTCCTGACGGTCTACGAGCAAAGGAACCCATAAGTTAAGTGGAAGATAAAATTATTGACGAAACTTATTAACAACCGTCTGAGTGACATTAATCGAGAGACTGGTTAACTGAAACCGATTACCCCGCACTGATTAACTGAACTGATTAACTGAACCGATTAACTGACTGTAACAAAAAAAAATGATAGCCGTGGGGAAGTCAACTGTTGCCCAACTTCAAGCCCGAGCTGATGCATTGCAACTGACAGTGTGTCACTGTCTAAAGCAGATTGTCTGATCTACTGACTTACTAAGAAGAAGAAGAAGTGACCACTACGGTTGAATGACAAACTGAACGATGGGCTCACAGTACACGTGATCAGCGGACGCTCTTTCAAGTGATTCGTTGATTTCTTGACTGTTAGACTGATGGATAGAATGATAAACGGACTAGCTGCCTGGCTTTGCTGTCTGACCGACTGACTTAAGAATTAGACTTACTAATCTGCCTTGTTTATATAACCGAGTGGGATTGGTTTGTTGCACGACAAACTAACACTGAATGCTTGCCAACCCAATGCATGATAGATAGGCCAAATGACTCACCTAGTGCCACGTACTGATCGTCTAGACGTACTTTGTGACTGACTGACTGACGGACGGACGGATTGACTTAAAATCTTGATACTGTACTGAATAACTTACTAGCTTACTCGTTTCCTTTCCGACTAGCTTGCTACCAGCTCAGTGATGGCCTTACAAAGTGACTTACGAGAGATTACTGACTTAAAAATGAACTAGGAACTAGCTAACTGGTCAGACCGACTGAATGACGAGCCAGGTGATTAATTTTAATTAACTCTCCGGTTAGCTGATCGACTAAATGATTTCCTGACGAACTGACTACTTTGCTGATTGACTCGGACTGACTTACTAACTGGCCTAAACTAACGGCTAGAGGCGAATATCTTTCTGACTACGGACTGCTGACCAACCGGATGACAAACTGACCCATTGACCTACTGAAACTGACTGATTGGCTAAGTGACTGACATAAACCTGGTTGACAGTGACTGTCTTGCTTAAACTGGCTGACTAAATAACAGACTGAGATAAAGGGCCAATTTCATGAGGAACGGTGGTGCCGTGCCGGTTGGAGATGGACTGAACACAAAAAGTTTGGATTTATCAACTCCATGATTTGATAAAGTCAATTTACTACTGTAAGAGATTGTGGAACTGACGCACGAGCGCTAGCCATTCGTCAGAGCGATCACATGTGTCATAATCGTATGAGTCACTCTGACGAAGAGCTGGCATTCGATTCGAAACGTCACCTTTTCAATCATTTCATGGCGGCAATTTGACTATACCAACTCATGCGATAAAACATTTTTCAGTGTAACATGCTGAAAAGCTAACTCACGCACTGACTGACTTGTTGACATGGTGAGACTGGCAAACTGACAGAATGACGGTAACTAAGTGGCTAGCTTGCGAAAACAGCCGTCGTGAAAAGTCGGCTGTTTTCTCAAGCTACTGAGTGGCTGACATACTGACAATTTGCTGAATCGAAATGACAGACAGTGAAAAGCTGGTTTACTGAATTTCTAACATGTTAATATTAGCTGACTGGTTAACTTACATCCTGAAAACCTGCTGGCTCGGAGTGACTGAAATATTGGAAAACTGGATTACTGGCTTGCTGACATGCTGGAAAGGGCTGACTGAAATGTTTGACTGACATGCTGACATACTGAAAATTTACAGACTCTTACTGGCTTACATACTGAAAAGCTGGCTCACTGACATGCTGAAACTGGCTGACTAACTTGCTGACATGTTAAAACTGGCTAACATACTATAAAACGAGCTGTCACTGACATGCTGAAACTGGCAGACATAATGAAAACTCTCTCATGACTTGAATTGACTGCTATACGACTTGCTGACATGTTAAAATTTTGAAAAATTGGCTGACTTGACATGCTGAAACTGGCACATATAAAACCCGCTCATTTCTTGGACTGACTGGCATACTGAATTGCTGACATGTTAAAATTGGCTCCCATTTTGAAAAATGGGCTGACTGACATACTGAAACGTGCAGACATAATAAAAACTTGCTCATGACTTGGACTGACTGGTATACTGACTTGCTGACATGTTAAAATTGGCTCCCATTTTGAAAAATGGGCTGACTGACATACTGAAACTGGCAGACGTAATAAAAACTTGCTCATGACTTGGACTGACTGGTATACTGCCTTGCTGACATGTTAAAATTGGCTGACATTTTGCAAAATGGCTGACTGACATGCTGAAACTGGCAGACATAATTAAAACTTGCCCGTAATGACTCAAGCTGAATGTTGACTGACTTGCTGAGGTGCTGGAACTGGTTGAATAGCTGGTTAACATACTGAAAACTTACTGACACGGAGTAACTGAAAGATGAAAAAGCTGGATCATGACTGACCTTCTGACACGCTTGAAATGGCTGACTGAGTTGCTTACATGTCAAAACTGGCTTACTGACTAGCTGTCAGACTGAAAACTTGCTGACCGGAATGGCTTACATTACTGAAAAACGGGCTGACTGACATGCTGAAACCGGCTGACTAACTTGCTGACACGTTACAACTGGCGGACATATACTGACAACTTGCAATTGCTGACTCGGAGTAACTGAAACATTAAAAGAATGTGTATGACTGACTTGCTGATACGCTGGAACTAGCTGACTGGGTTGCTGACATGGTTAAAACTGGCTGACTGGCCGGCTGACAGACTGAAAACTTGCTGACTCGGAATGGCTGACATACTGAAAAACGGGCTGAATGACATGCTGGAACCGGCTGACTAACTTGTTAGCTGACATGTTACATACCGACAACTTTCTGACTCGGAGTAACTGATATATTAAAAAGTTCTATGACTACTGGCACTGGCTGACTGGGTTGCTGACTTCGTCAAAACTGTCTGACTGACCGGCTGACAGACTGAAAACTTACTGACTCGTGGAATGGCAGGCATACGGAAAAGCGGGCTGACTGACACGCTGAAACTGGATAACTAACTTGTTGAAAAGTCAAAACTGGCTGACATACTGATAACTCATTGAATGACTGACTGAGGTACTAAAAAGGTGGCCGACTTTCTTGGAGACATGCTAAAACTGGCTGACTGAGTTGCTGACAAGTTGCATTTGGCTGAGATGCTGGCAGGCTGACATACTGAAAACTTGCTGACTGAGACTGGCTAACATACTGGAAAGTGGGCTGCGAGCAAGCTTTCCAAATATGGCGAGCGAAGCGAGCCGCGAAACTAGCTGATACACTGACAATTTGCTGATTCTGACTGACTAACACACTGACGAAAGGCTGACGTTAATTTAGGCCTGACAGAATGACTTATATTATTATCTTATTCCTGCTTGAGACAGACTGAATGACCAATAATGACTAATTGACTGATCTGATATGACTTCATTAACTCTGGATGTTTGACAGACGCTGTCTTATTTGCTGACAAATTCGTTCAAATTTACAAACCCATAAGCACAAATTAGCAAATGATTAACCGACTGCTTAACTGGCTCAAACAGCCACTTGACGAGATAAATGGCCAAACGGATTTTAAAATGTCTCGGTGACTGGCCCATCAACTAATTACGTACAGTTAACTCTTTCAAAGACAGACACCTTTGCGAAATAGAGAAATGCCCGTCTTATAGAGTCAAATAAAGGGAGTAAAAAAAGGCAGAGACCAACTCTAGGTGTCCGTTTTGCAGAGGTGTCCTTCTTAAAGAGAGGAGGTGTCTGTTAAGAGACTAGAGAGTCGACTGTATTTGATTGTCTCGCGCATAAACTGACATTCACATGGGGATGGACTGGCTTACTATATAATAGACAAAGAGGGGCTGCCTTGACACTTGATCAAACAATCAACACAAGCGACTTGCCCACTGACCAAAGGACTGAAGTCATCAGATATTGATGGATCTGACTGCCTGTACGGCTGTTCGGATGGCTTACTAGCCAGGTAATTGGCACTTTTAAGCTGCTTGTTTACATGATCTCGACGGACAAACTGAACGACTTAATGAACTAATCAACTGACCGTCGCAGTGTCCAGCGAAGACAAATACTAATAGTAATTTCCACTACTAAACAAACGATAATGACAATATGATGAAAGTAGACTAACGCACTTTTAGTCAAAATCTTTGAGGGCATTTTACCAGCAGACATACAAGAGTACCGTAAGGAGAGAAGAAACATTGAGAGGGAGGTAACCTATCAAAATGCGTCAGCCAAGCAACAGTGGGTGATGTGTTGGGATAACGATCATCACGGAGAACCTCCGCAGGCTTTACTGTCCTGTTTTAGAGAAAGAGTGGGAGATGTACTTTTGGAATAAGCTGTTTCATCCTCGAATGGTTTTCAAATGTCGCGATCCGTTTTTTGCTGTCTTTTTTTAGCTACAATATTGTAATAGTGCTTGAACGATGTTTGTTGTGTTGGATGCCTGTAAAATTATTTTTGTCAAATTGAACGATGAAGAAATGTTTTTGTCCTTCAATGATTCACACCTTCTGATCTGAACCAATATATTAAGGGACACCGTGGATTCCGGATTACAGGTGCTGGATTCCAGTATTTGTCATTGGAACCTGGAGTCTGGATTCCAATCGTTAGTGAGATTCCGGATTCCTTGAGCTGTATTCCGGATTCCAAAGCCCAGGGTGAGACATTTCAATACACGCATTTTTCCTCCTTCCGGGTTCCACGAGCAAAATTTGTCCGGATTCCTATTTCAACAAAGGGACGATTTTGAAACCATCGCAGATCCCATACTACCATAACATTACCTTATAAACCAAACCAAAGTAATTTCTCCGATGCAGCCACATGCGACGCGCTACGTTGCAAGGGAAGATCAGCGTTTATTCAACCTTTTCGGATGCCGGTCAAACAACGGTAAATTACTTCTAAGACCTACTTTGAAAGCACTAAGAACCAATTTTACGCCCCACCCCTGGAACACCTCCAACGCGCATCGTGAGCTGTGTAAGTGCAGTGAACAAAAGTTGCTTCATATGGGAAACTCGGTAAAATAACAAACTGGGTTTCTTGAAAAAGGAGCGCCGACAGCGTGTCAAAACAACCGACATTTAGCGACGCCACCACTACCGTGGGTACCAAAGGTTTCTTTCTCGCGGGTAGCTATCGAGTGCGGCGGAAATGTTCCGGGGTCAGCCGCAGGCTTTTCGCGCGGTTCACTATAAACTCCAAGCTATAAACTGAAGATTTGACCAAAAATGGAAACGGCAGAGTAACTAACTAAAACCAATTCAACAAACATTCTAAACTTGTCACGGACGGTTTTATTGTTTCCGACGGCAAAATGATGGCAAAAAATCGATCGTTCACACAAATTGAATTCCGCTGCAAGATGGAATAAGATACAAATGCTGAAAAACACAACTATGACCTCACTTGTTAATACTATACCACATAAAACAGAAAACCAAGTCAACATCATAGCAAAGCATATCTTCAACCAGAAAGAAAGTGAAAATTATGATTAACTGGTAGGAAAACATGTGCTACGCGGGAAAACAAAGTTTCTGTCTAGTTTGATGACAAAAAATTAAATTGACAGTAAGTATAATCTTTCGCTGACACTAACAAGAAAAAGCTATTAAATTAAGTTGAGGGTCATAGTTTGTCTAATCTCCTCACTGATGGCTTGCTTGATGGTTAACATATTATTCCGCGGTACCGTCGGCTTTGGTAGCCTCTTCTTTCTCGGGTTTTGCTTCTTGGTCTTCTTTCTCTCTTTCCCCGTCCTGTTTACATAAAAAGAACGGGCATTTTGAATAAACAACCTTTCCAGCATGTTTTTAGCTGATTTACAAAGTCGTCCGCGTTGCTGTCAAGTAGTTACCTTGCAAATGCTAAAAGCGATGCCAGAGAGAAACCTCTTCTCGCAAGTTAGGTCTGTGAACATTCACGAGTAAGCTAAAGATATGCAAGATTTTTTCTTTATACACAGGGGCGTGTGTCTTGTCCGACCTGGATACCATTTTAGTTGAACCAATCAGAAACTTAAGTTGACTTTCAAATCTTTTTTAAAAGTGCCATGCAAATATTATGCCTCAAAATGATGGTGTATACTATGTAATCTGTACAGTCAACATGTTAAACCGCAGGCAGCATTCTGTCGGACACATAGCAAATTTTAGTCCTGTCATTTGCAGCTCTACACCAGAGACTGGGAGTTGAAGGGCCAGATAACCTTTTGATTCGAGAACAAGCCTTTCTTAATACTAAGTAGTGCTCACGCGTTAATCAGCGTCATTTTGCGGGAAAACATGATAGCCGTCGCCATTTATCAAATGGTGCCCCCCTCCCCCATCGTTTTCTTTTTCGTCCTCGGTTCAGCTTTCGCGCGGTTGAATCTCTTACTTACGAACCAGAGAGGAAAAACGCACCGAAAAAACCCCAGCTACGCAGGCTATGATCGTCAGAGAGGACTTGACCTCCTTCAAGAAAGATAACAGTGCTAACTTTTCTGACACAGTCGGTGTAAAAGAAGCAAGGCGCACAAGGAATAAGATCGATTTGACTTTCTGTTGTAAATACAAACATTACTTTCAGCTACAGAGGATTTGAAGGGGGTTGTAATGCTCACCTCTCCACGAGGACGTCGAGGATATCTCCGGTTGTACGGACGACGACGACGGCGACGATTTTGAGGTGGATGCTACGAGAGCAATAAATAAGTTATTAAGTTTCAAATTGCTCCCTAAGAGTTTGCTCACAACGTGAAATCATGTTCGAATTGGCGCCCCCTTTCAAATAAAGTCCTCTCTCTTCCGTAGAATAGGAGGATTTCAATGCCAGAACGTAGAAGATGAGAGGAAATATGACTTTGAAATGTACTGGCACACATATATTTGTGCTACTTCTTCAGGATACGTTGTAGTAGTCTGCTACACACCCATATTTAGTGTCGTCTTGCACCGCTACGCCCCTTCCGACAAACGGCTGCTTTGTTGGGAGGAGCGTTGCGTGACGACACTAAAAACGGCTGAGTAAAGGACTAACGATGTAGTTGACAGTTTCAACGTGTATTTACTGGAAATACTAAAGTTATTTTAGGATTGAGCACACTCTAAAAAACGAAGGAAGCGCCCCAGCCGCTAATTTGAGCATTTGCGGTAGTAAAACAAAGCATTTTTTTCAGAGTGGGGAATAATGAAAACTTAGCTGGCCATCAAAACAAGATCATTGTCTGGTAACCGGCATCATTTTCGGGACCCTAGTACCAAAAAAATGTTAAAATAGAAATGACTCTGCTGGTTACGTACCTCTTCTCCACCTTCCCCGCCTTCCTCTTCCTGGTCACGTTCGCCTCGCTCTTCCCTCTCCTCGCCTTCTGGGCCTTGTTCAGGCCTGCGCCTGCAAACAAAATGACTCATCATAAAAGCCAGGTTTAAATTCGTAATAACTTTAAAACAGCGCTAGGAAAAACTTGAATTCCCGCACATTCTTTTGGGCAAGCACTCTCACATTTTGCCTACCTGGGGCAACTACTTGTTGAGCTTAGCTAATGATTTAGTTAGATGATGACTTCCTTGGGACCCGGTGTCTACAAAACAAAGACCGAAGACCCAATTACCATATGCCCAGAGACACGAAAAGGATAGGGTCTTCATTTTGTAGTTTGACCTAGGGCAAACTACAACACAAAGACCGTATCCTTTTTGTGTCTCAGATAATTGCGTCTTCGGGGATTGGGTCTTCGATCTTCGGTCTGTAGACACTCCCTTGGGACCATTGCTCATCGTGCAAGTGGGCTTTAATAGTTACTTTCCCAGCAAGAAAAACTACTTGTCCCAGATGACCGGACAGGACTTTTTTCAATTCCTGCATCAAAATTAGAGAACTTTGTTATGGGTTAACAATGACAATTAATAGTTTTGACCACGATGATCACTTCTGATAGCTTTGAATAAAACCTTTCAATTACAATTCTGAATGAAGAACGATGCCCTCTTATACAAATAACTAGTAACAAGTCAAAATAATACAGCAGAGTAACTTTTGATTTTTTGCCGGATTGGGGAAGCTTAAACCATTCCCTACTAAGGTCAGGGACAAAATAAAGTACATAAGCAATACTAGACAGCAACATAAGCTTATTTTGAGAAATAAGCGTAATAAAGAATAGTGCACACCACAATGCTTGTGAACTGTACCTTGGACGGCGCCTACGACGAGGTCGTCTCCTCTCCTCTCCATCACCTGACTCCTCTCTCTGCTCATCACCCTTTCCCTCCTCAGACTGGTCTCCTGACTCATCCCGGGGAGGCGGTGGACGGCGACGGCGCCTAGCCCAGGGGGGTGGTCGGCCGTAATACCGTCTGCGGCGTGGTCTTTCTTCGTTGTCATTTCTTTCCCGCTGGTCACCTGATTCTTCCTCTTCCTTGGTCTCATTCTCGTCCCCAGATCTTACTTCGCCGTTTGTAGCGACGTTAGGCCTTCCTCTGGGACGGCGTCTTCCACGACGATTATTATAGTAGTTGCGATAGTAGTTTCTTCGGCGGTCCGCTGAAATTACAAGAGCATTATTGAGATTAGAATCCTACAAAAGACAATTTTACACGTCCACCGACCCATTTCTTAAACAATGAATGAAAAAGAAACTAATACAGTCATGTTATTTCATATTCAGTTCAACAGTATGTTTACTCAAACAACATGCGAGGTTGATCAAGGCTCTCCTCTAAGAAAAATTGAAGGGAGCCCAGTGCTCTTCCAGGGTGTTCAGCACAGGATTTCTAGACAAAAGCTACAATTTTGTATCTGTAGAACTTTGCCCAAGAGCAAAACTAAGGCATCAGAGGCCATCGAGAGAGCACAGACCTGCTGAGATCACAAACATTTTTCGCTAAAACATTACAGCCAATTTCTTTCCAGCTTCGTTTCTCAACAAGAAGCCAATACCTCTCTAGCACTGAGATACATGTACTTAAAGCCCCAGACATCACAGTAATAGTCCTCTTTATCATGGTACTGGTACATTAGTTTCTTCAGGTAAAGTAAATTTTGATGTTTTTAAATAATAATACATAATTTATGTGATCATCTAAACTCAGAAAGGAAAGAATATGAAAGCAACATCACACTGTCTGAAATGGGAGAACAAGCGAGCAAAGTTTATGAGCTCTTTTAGGCACTTGAAGGAAAGACAATCACTTCAGATGTAGTTTTAGAAACTAAAGAATAAATCTTAGGTGTTGTTGCTGACATTTAATTTTCAAGCTTTTGCATGAAGGGTATTTCCAGACAATATTTCTTTTGACAAACTATTGTCACTTTTTTTTATTTCCAAGTAATTAGGCAACAAAGCATCATTTTGCCAAGTACTTACGTGCATACTTGCTTCCTTGCACAGGGCTTCCATCAGGTCCTGTCACATTGGCTGCTTCAAGACCCTAAAACAATGAAACGCAAAAACATGCTTTAAGTACAGTATGATAAGAGCCATGTCACAGTTTCTGTAAGCCCCATTTGGCAATATTGTGAGAACTCAGGGCTCTCCATTTTGGCAGATATTTTTCCGAGAACTTAGACCAGCAAATTAGTTTGTGGAAAATAATTCTAACTTCGAAATCGGAGGATATTTTTCTTACAATTATCTTTTTTTGATAAAATTTCATTTCCAGCAAAAGGTGGAAAAAGAAAGGAGGAGCTTAGCATGATCTTTGATAAAATTTCATTTCCACTTAAGAAACTACTACAAGAAACCACAACGTAGCAAAAAATTTCACAAGAAACAAATTTTACAGCCACTGCAAATAGTGTGAGAACAGACGAGAATGACAGTGAAACCTCTATTCAGGGGACACCCTCAGGATCAAAGTAATTGTCCCTGAATAGAGTGTCCCTGACTCGGAAACTGCTGCAGTCATTATTTCAAGCAGCTAGATAATGTTTAAAAATCAAGATGAACTTATTTCTGCACTGTTTTGTGTTGAATTCCCACAAGTGCAGAACATTGATTTCAGTGTGAAAGATTGTATTTTGAAAAGTGCTGCTATTGTGACTAGTTAAACTTATCAATGCTTTTTGTGGTCAGTCACTTATTGAGCACTAAGGTGTCCCCTGAGTGGAGGTTAAATCCTGGTTTTGGGTCCCTGTAAAAGTGTCCCTTTCCCCTGAATAGAGACCTATGTCCCTTACAAAAAGGTTACAAATACAAGGATTACGTGAACAGTTTTCCGTGACCAGATTTTGTGTCTCCTGAATAGAGACATCCCTTGCATAGAGGTGTCCCAAAGGAGAAGTCCAACTGTAATCACACTTCACGTGTCATAGCCAGCTTATCATGGAAACAGGATTATACCTGTGTCATGGTTCTGATATCATATTAGACAAAGAGATGCAGAAATAACACACCTTTACTCCTGATACTACATCAAATTCAACAGTTTCCCCGTCTCCAACACTGCGCAAGTACTTCTTAGGATTGTTCTTCTTGATGGCAGTCTGTAAATTAACACATGCAACCCTTTAAACTCTAACATCAAAATTCAGATTCTCATTTTTTTTCCTTACACGTTTCCTATCTAAGAAGTGTGGAGAATTTGTTAAAATATCAATAATTAGATTCATCTTGATTGATCAAGTCCTCAATTCTCAACATCAATCTGTTTTATAAAGTACTGATGTTGCAAGGAGGAATTTGATACTGATTACTCTTAGGGCTTTGAGTAGAGTAAACAGGTGAAGCCAGGCGAGTACTTTACAACTCTGTTCACAACTAACAGGGAAGCTTTCAATCCGTCTATGATTCAAACCAGATAGGCCTAATTTAATTAACATGAAGTTCCAGTTAAGACATATTTTTACTGTACTTGGCCTCCAACCCTGCCCCCTTCACCTTCCGAAATGCAACCTTGCAAGGATGGTATATACCTTTTTTGGGGAGCAAATGTGAATAGGCGAACAGGTAAAACCAGAAAAAATTAATGCTACTGACACATATAGCCTGCAACACAGACAGAACTAAACTTCTGATAAACTCTGTATGCAAACCAGCTTTAAAATCCTTGTTCTGGGCCCACATCTGTGTACTAAGGTTTGAGTATGAGTCATGATTGGCCTGTTAAAAAAGCCATATTTTATTTGCCAATCAGGATAAAGGGAAATTCAACACACTTCTGGTAATTCGTTGAATCAGTTGGGGGCCAAGAACAACAATGCCAGCATTTCTTCACGGACGAGGGGTTAGATCATGTCTGTGATGCGGGCCACTGACACATCATAATGCATGCTTCTGTTTGATTAATTAGTACCACTGGTTTAAAAACAACCTTGGTCCTGTTTTATGGCATAGCTATTCAAATTTTAGTAAAATCCAACTAGTGGTCCATTATCAATGCTGCATTCTGATGATTGAGCTACTACTAGGCTATATGTTAAAGCCAACTACAAGTGAAAAGCACCGGGTTTGAAAACCAAATCACTGGCAGCTGAATTGCATTTTGCGGGCTGAAATTGTTTTGTCTTGATATTTTTGACCGACTAGTTGGATTTTACTAAAACAATAATTATTCCTCTCGCCCTTGTGGCCTCTGAGTCAATGGCCAATTTCATGGGCTATTGACTCAGAGCCCACTCAGGCTTGAGCAATAATAATAACAATAAATACCTTATATACATTATATATTATTTCTGGGTCAGCCAAAAAAAATCTATCTGGTATGGTATGGTATGAACATACATGTGGCCATCACCATCCAACCACCAACAACTCCATTCATGTCCTCACATATGTCATCATCACATGCACTTAAGCACACTAACAAAAGATCCCTAATATTAATCTTTCCTGAGAAAAATCATGCCAAATTTCAACTTCCAAATGTACCTTCAAAATAAAAGTCCCCCTATGGAAACATTCTATTTTCTGCTTGAAGTAAAGAAGGGTCGTTGCTGTTGTTCTATACGGTATTTCACTGGGGTAGATCCAAGATGATCACATCAGGTTTAGAGGCTCTTGATCTCATAAATCAACACTGGTGAATCAATGACCTCTACCATGTGACTTGGACAGTGAAAAGTTTATCATAATGATGTGTAGATAAATAATAAGCCTATGGCAATTCTATACACCGAACATGAAGTTGAGTGAAGTACTGCTATTTAGCAAGAACAGAGAAATAACAAGAGGGATGTGAAAAAGAATTGTGGCTGGATGAGTACAGCCCTGAAAGGTCAGGAAAAGGTGTCAGTGAAGGGAAGAAACTGACGACAGCAGAACAAAGATAAATGACAACGCAAAAAAGGGCTGAAGAGACCCACGGGTGGTTATCTTTCTAAAATTCATTAATTTTAGATCCTGTTTAAATAAACGAAGATTAAATACACCTTCAAACCTATTAGTGTGCTTCAACGTGCAATAATTCACACATAGACTTGCAAAAAAGTTTTTACACGTATGTAAACTGGTTAATCGACTTACCTGATGAACAAATATATCTTCCTTGTTGTCATCTCTGGGGAAAAAAGAAAAATAGAACGAAACTTGAGCAGTGATTGTAGGTGGGAAACTGAAATATGCAAATTAGCTCAGCGTGGCCACAAGGTTGAAACGGAAAACTCGCTTGCGATGCCTTCGCCATCACCACCACGCCAATCGCGTATTTCAAATACGGTTTTCAGGAGGGCGATTTGAATAACGGTACTAAATAAACAAAACTATTTAAATGAGGTTGAAGGACAAAGGACGAGCGCGGTAAAGAAAAGACTAGATTAAACTCTCGCTTACCTGTTGATAAAGCCATAACCATTTTTAACGTTGAACCATTTCACCGTACCGGTCACTTTACTGGCTAGAAAGTTCGAAAAGCCACGTCAGTCATTTACAGAAACCAGACAAAAAAAATTTTTAACCAATGTAACAGTAAATGAAACGAAATCTAAGCAATAAGGGCAAGCCATGTGGCCGGAAAACCTATCGTGACAATATACATTAACAATTCATATTCACGCTATTACGGCGCACATGTTCGATGTCGCTTTCAACCCATGCAACGTTGAATCCTACAACCACTGACACTCACCAACAACTTTCTTCTCAGCTGGCTGTTTTTCTTCGACTTTTGGTTCTTCAGTCGTGGTCATGTTGCTGATGGTTACAGCCTCTAGGGCCTTCGCTACTTGGTGGTGTTTCCCACGAAAGGTCTTGGTGTTCCGTCAGATCCTCGATGGATGGCGTCCTCTGTGATCACTCATCTCTTTCACATTACTTGTAGTCACGCAAGGTGTCATGGGAATGTTACGCCCAGTCCTTCGCAGTTTTCCGAAGATACGTTTCTTTTGCAACGACAAAACGAAAAATTATAAAAATTGTTACAGAATTTACTTTCCTCTTCAGTAACCTATAAAAATCATTAAAGAAACCATATTTTTCAAAAAAGTACGAAAAAACGAGAACATTCTTCGCAATAAAGACAACACATTGGTCTTCGGTAGTAGTCGGTTAATCATCGGACACCTTTCCAAATATCCGACGTTTCGAAAAAGAAAATGGCGGCGATTGGAAGACAAAACCAACTTGAGTATTTTTTGCAAGGAAGCGTTGGAAAAGACTCCGTCAAAGCTCTGCTGGAAAGACTTAAAGGATTGTGTGATGGCGCATCAAGACAATTTGCTACGTTTCAGGATCATGAAATAGTCTACACACTTGGTAATAATATATTGCATTTTCAGGGCTCTGTCAGTTGCATATTTTTAAGAGTTCATTGAAGCAACTCAGAGTTGCTTCTATAAATGCTTTTGATTTACAGAGGCTTTAGCTTCTATTTTTGCTTCTCAGAGACCAAATACTATATTCATCCGTTGATTTTCTCTCAAGCGTTCTTCCTTGATCTTAGAGATCCAGAGATGCCATCCTCTGCAAAACTCAGTAACTTCCACAGTTCCAGAGTCATGAACTCTCCCCACCCCCTCTAAACGACCCATTCTAACCCTGGTACCCCCACTGGCATTTCCATCCTAAGTAGCCCTCGGTTTCCAAGCCAGATCATTCTATTTCATGGTCAGGTCATTCCTCAGTTCAGTTTAAAATTGAAAGTGAAGCGCTTGCTTTTGGCTTCTTAGCTTAAAGACTCGTGAAAAATTCTGTTGTGGAACAATCTGACTATTAAGTGGAACGATTTGGCGTCGAACTATCTGACCATGGAACCAGATCCCCCCTTCCCCACAGGATCTCTACTTCTTTTCCATGAAGAATAAAAAAAAGTGTTTGGTTTTATAGGTAATCCCAGTAGCAATATTTCATTAAGAGCTCGACATTCTTTAGATGATTCAAAAGCTCCATGGTAAGTATTTTATTGATAAAAATATAGTGTAGATATCCAGTGCTGTCAACTCTTCCGGAAAATCTGGGAGACTCCAGATTCTGGACCGTATCTCCCAGTCTCCAGATTAGAGTGGAAAATCTCCCTGCCGAAGTTTGCCATTTCTTGTAGACTTGACTTTCTGACCCTAAAATTTTAATTTTTTGTGTTGTTTAAAGTAATTTTACTGTTAACATAGGACGTTCCTTGTAAACTCTGGCATGCCATTGTAATTTAAGCAATAATGTGGCTTAATATGAACTGTTTTATAGGGTATTTACATCGATCAGAGTCAACGAGTACTTTTTGCTCAATTGACTTCATGTGCCGTGCGATATGACATCATCTATTCACCCTTCCCTATCATTTCTCAATATTTGAAGACGTGAGGGGTTGACAGCCCTGGATATCCCACAATTATTATACTCTTGGATTATGTTAATTTTATTCTGTAGTGATGCATGCATAGAATGGAACTAGAACATCTTGAACAGCATCTTGAACACTTCTTGAGTAGCAGCCCTTTAGTTGACCAATGTACTACCTTGAAGACCTCCACAACCCTCCACAAATGTACTAAGGTTGTTGGAAGATGTAACACCTTCCTTCATTTTTTTTTTTTGACAGGCAGCTGCGTTACGTTGGCCAAAGTGAAACAGATAAAAGCCGCAGCACTTTGTTACGAAGTTGTGTTGAGGTGTCAACAAGTGACAATCTAACAACATTCCTCAAGGAACTCGGATTTAGGTCATTTTTCTTGTTCATAATATTATTTGACTGTCTCAGTAAGATACCTCTTACAAATTTTCAAACATGTTGCATGAAAAATGGGATTTACCGGTGGTTAGTGTTTCATTATTTGCCTTGAATGTTCATTTCTGTTCCATATTCCCACAGGCATGAAAGTGAGTTTGTCCTGAAAGGTTATTATTTTGTCAAAGGTCACATGCGGATCACTGTCAGCCAAGTTTGCAGGGTAAGGTCCCATTTATGCACCAAGTGAATTAATACAGCAGGGCCCAGTTGTTCAAAGCTGGGTTAAGATAACCCAGGGTTAGTGCGTGATTTGAATTAAGATTTGAAAGCTTATAAAGCATTTCAGTTTTAATTTTTTTTTTCTAGAAGTTGATGATTGGAAGCTCTAAAAATATCAGAGAATATTATCTGAGAAAAAGCTTTTGAACACGAGAAAAAGAAACCTGGTCTTGTATCAGTTTTCTTATCCCTGAGTTTTCTGACCCCCCTTTAATTTTTTCGAGGCATATTTTTTCAATGCATTTACTTAAATGCTACTGGCAAGTTTTGTACATTGCTCTCATCACTAGATGATGTCAAAATACCATATGGACCTGATGCTAAAATGGCTGTTGGGTTGATATTCTTTTGTATATTTTAAAATTAGCCTCACTAACCTTGCTTGAGATAAGGTATCCTTTTGAATGTTGTACTTAAGACAAGGCTAGTAAAGCTGATTTGAATATGAACAAAAGAATATTAAACTAGTGTCCATTTTGACATTGAGTATACAGCCAACCATTAATAGTTTAAGCAAATATTTACAGGACTCTAGCTAGCTTCATAATAGAGGTTTGGAATATTAATCTTGCAACAGGTTTGGTTGTAATTAAATTAAACCAATATCATTTTTACTCTTTATATGGCAGTAACACTATTGTTAACATAAATTTCAGGTTGGAGGTGTAAATGAACCACAGTCAGCCCAACCTATTTCTGATTCCTATCTTGTGGAGATTAGCCTCATGGCCACTGTTCAACAGGTGACTGTTACAAACCCTAACACACATTGGAATTTTTGACGTGTTAAATTGAAAAATTTAATAAATTTTCTGAAAATATCCTTTGCTCTTATTGGGCTTTTGGGGGACTATATAACATTTTAATTTGAATGGAACATAACAAGGCTAAGAATCCCAACTGTTAGGAGGTGAACAAGTTGGCCATTTTACAAGAGTGGCCAAGGTTTTGTACTTGGGACTACTGAGAACAAATCCAGCTAGCACTCAGCAGGTTAGGAATTGGACTTGGGGGCCTCTGGGTTATAAATCTACAGCACTCTAACTGCTCAGCCACTCTGCCTTCTTAATGCTGCCATATTCATTATCTACAGATTGTCCAACCATCCTGATCTTGTTGAGATTCTCCTGATTTTGCTTGAAAATCCAGAAAACTGGTCAATATGTGATCTGTATTCTGTATAGGAAAAATCCTGATTTAGACATCTGTTCTGATCTTTTCAAAAGAACTCCTATGATACTAATACAAGAATAGAAGAACACAAGAGTATGCTTAACTGAAACTGACATCCAGAAAACTTACACAAAACCGCACAAAATATAAAATACAATCGAGTACTTGTAGTTATTAATTACTATTGGAAATAAGCATTAAAATGACAATCAATTTAGCGAACATTTTACACTAGAAATGAACACCAGAAATGGTGTTTCAGGGCATCAAGTTTTTAAAATTTTCAGAGAGGGCATGCCCTCAAACACCCCCCCCCCCCCGCCACCTCCTCCCAGCAGCTTGCTCATTCAACACTTGATAATTTGTTGGTTATTAAAGACTATCCCGATTTTACATACCCACAAGGCTGGACAGTCTTAATCTATTATTATTTTAGTGGTATGCTTGTTATTTCCCGGAAAACCCATTTTTTTCTTCATTACTCATCCTCAGGGGCCAAATTATTGCTCACTGTAAGGGCAATTTTTAATGCTGGTTCAATGTGCAAAAGCCATGAAAAATGATATTAATGTATTATGTTGTTTCCGTAGGACACATTAGCGGAAGAAATTAAAGGATTTTCAGAACACTTGAAACCGTATCCTTGTCCTAAGTTAACCCAAGTTTATGGCTTAGACTTATCACCAAATACCAGTCAACAGAATACATCTTATGTCTAACGAATTGTTTTCTGCTTCACAATAGATTGTTATGGCTAACCTAAAATATAATGACCAATTATCATTTCAGTAATTTTCATCTTGTTTCCAGGGGCAATTATACAACATGCTGAAGCGTTCCTGCATTGTAGTTGGATAAGTCCATTTTGCCACATGTCTGTTCAGTTAAAAATCAAACTGTTTTGAGAGCAATCAATATATTGATTAGCTCACTCACATGGAAAAGCTTGTTATACAGGCTATTAGTGGTCAACTCATCTGCACTTATTGGTTATATTTTTGTTTTTAGCCCAAAGTGCCACAGTCATAAATGATCTGTTATAATCCATTCTACATTTGCAACTTATTTCCTTGACAAAGTATTGTTCTTAGGCTCGTTCACTTGGAGAAGATTGACCATCGAAAAATACAAATGACTTGACTTCACTAGGGTAGGTGTATGTGGTTACAGACAGTATTCAGTACAGTGCATCCATTCAAACGTATTGATGCCGACACCCATTAACACCAGCCGAGCAAGATATTGAAATGTTCGCGTGGAGATGATATGATCATCACTTCATCTTCAAAGTACTGTGGAGTACGTTAACGCAGAAGATGAGAAGACAAGATGCAAGGAAAAACTAAGATCCAAGACAAGAATTACGAAAAGTTGTTCAGGTTCCAAGATTGTAATCTGCAGAGAAAATCGCACAGGGGCTAAGTGGACTCTAAGGAGAGAGAAAACTCCATCCGCCCCTCCCTAGTTCACCCGCTTCGGTATCGGGTCACCTCGCCAATCGCCACCGACAAAATCGCCCACAAGAATAGAACTTAGCTTAGCATTCTTTTGAACCTTCATGAACGGAAATTTCTTAACTGTTACTTTATTTTCATCTTTCAAAGAAATGACTAGTGGTTGTGAAACGTTTCTGCCAGTTTTTTAATCTCTCAAATGCCAAAGTTTACATTCATAGAACCTATAAATGTTTTATTTGTATCTGCATTACCAAGAGCATAAGACGTTCGACGCAAGGATAGTCAATTAGGATCGAAAGACTTGTATTTGGGTCGACTTTAAATTCGAATAAGCTTGACGAAAAAGTAAAAATCTTAGGTTAGTAATCCCAGGTCTTAAACTGTGTGAATTATTCAGAGTTATTCGTTGTTGGCGAGTCGACTTCTTGGTGGCGATTTCGTTTGTGGCGAGATGACCGTAAACCCGCGCATCCTATTTTTGCTTGACATTGTTTACCTAACATCCCCAACATTTAAGAGGCTAGTTCAGGCTAGATTCAAGTTCATTCCAGAGTTTATCTTGTTACAATGTTGCAAACAATCATTGATCAAAATGTGTAATTATATATTTATATTTATAGCTAAATGAACCATGTTTTCAAATAAACCAAAAATATTTGGCCTTGTAATTAGTGTGATAGTCTGTGCACAGACGGTTTTCTTTTTTCCAGGAATCTGGCGTGCGCCAGAACGAAGAGTCAATAAATCCCCTCGTGCTACATACTCTTAGGATGGTCCAAGGAAAAAAGGCAAACCGGGTGGGTACTCCAGAGATTTCTTGGGGGTTATGCCACTCGGTTCTTCAAATCCTGACCCTATTTCAGACCCAAAAATGTCATTTTTCACACCCGTTATCAGACCTGGCCTCTAAAATCCATACCCATTCTCAGACCTGACCTTTAAGAAATTATGTCATCATTACTTAGATTAGAACAACAACAAAAAATATTTCTTAAAATCCATGGTGATTTCAAAATCGAACGAGCGCGCAGCGCGAGTTCGATTTGAAATCACAAGTATGATTTCAGACCAAAATTGCACGACACGAAGTTCAATTACCACTTTATTACATCCATTTTGAAATCGCAGAATTTAGTCAGTACTAATATTTTATTGATCGAGTAGCCGGTTTGTTAAAAAGCCGAAACAAAAAGGCTTTTACATCTCATTTTGTATTCGAAACAGAAATGATGCAATATATAGAACAAAAATGGTGCAATTCTAAAACAGAAATGATGCGATTTAGAACATGAATGACGCGATTTGGAACAGATGCGATTTAGCGCAAAAAATGGTGCGATTTAGGAATAAATCACACTGCTGAGAGCCAATCAGATTGCACGGATACCCAGTGATTTCAAAGTGGATGTAATAAATGTCGAAATCATCCTCGGAGACCCAGGGGCAGAAGAAAAGGAAAGAGCGCTTCTCCCCGTTCTTTACTTTTCTTCGCACCATCTTTTCCCGCCCATTTAGACTTTCCCTCGCCCACACCATCTGCCCCTGGGTCTCCGAGGATTTGTCGAAATCGCATATTTCTTTTTCTTTCTCACTCATTTGGAATTGAAACAATAAGTACGTTCATACACTCCTGTACTTCCCTCCAAAACCATACCTGATTCCAGACCAAAATGAACAAAGTCTGTACCCGTTTTCAGACCAAAACGGCGCAAAAACTCTACCCTTTGGTGCGGCACATACCTATATGCCTTATATAAGGGAGTATCCCCCAAGGCTTGAAGCCTGAAAAAGTACCCCTTTCGGGAGGAGCCTAAAATTTTAGATTCCATGCCGAATTCTGGTCTTTTTTTCGGTCGGTCCTCTTTGTCCTCTCCTCGCCTCTAAATATGTTATTGGATACCATATCAGTAGACATAATCGTGCAAATGAGAAGAAAACAATTATCGCGTTATCTCCTTTATCTTGTTTTTCGTGGTTGACGCTTCTTCCTTCGCGGCTTTTTACTTCAATACCTCATTGTCTGTTTTGGAATGCAGCCCACCCCGCTGAGGAACGTATCACCTCCCCAGTCACGTGACAAAAATTTTCTTTTAGGACAACTGTTTGTTGTGCTGGCACTTCGGCACTGAATGATCGTGGACGAAGGCAGTGATGGCCATTCGATGTTGTGTTGGCTGGATTTGCTTAGCCTTCCCGGCTTTACTTCTCCTTGATAGCCTTGATGTATGCATAGCGCAATCAGGTAGTTTAAGGATGTGAGTCATTTTTCTTCGCTGCAAGAAACTTAGTCTTACCGTGATTTTTCTTATGCCGACCGTGATTAATGTTTTTGGGTAGGTCTTTCCCATGGTCCGAGCGCTGACATTAGGGCACCAGACAAGTTGAGACTGCTTGCATTAACAGTTGCAACAGACGAGACAGATGGTTATAAAAGATTTATGAAATCTGCAAAGGCCAACCACGTAGATGTGAAGGTATTCTTTAATTATTTATTTGCCTCAATGGCGTGCGGTTCCATTCAGCGCGCATTCTGCTTCGGCTCAACGTTCGTTCGGATGATAGCTGATTTCGTCATTGTCTCTTTACCGTCTTTATTTGTTAATGTTCTTTGTGTTACAATTGTTTTGCAATCTTTTTCTCTGTAGTGCTCATGGAACAAGTCCCAGGTTTCTTAAAATCAAATTCTGTGTGTGCCGTAACAATTTTGAGCTTTCCTAGTGTCAAAATTGTCAGCTGAAGAACATGTTAATTACACGTGTCTTTGTATTTTGCCACTGTTCCGAATTTGAATATTGATCTTTTAATCATTACGCCAATTGTAAACAAATCTGACTTTTCCTTTTGTAATATCTCACTCCAAAAGTGCTAAGCTAGCACTATTCTCCTTTGTTGGTGAAAACTGACAAACATGGCAAACACACCGAAATCTATCAGTTGTGCATCAGTAATATTTATTAAACGAGAAAACGGTTCGATGTTGATGAATTAAGTAACAGTTTTTTGACGACAAATTAAATGTTTTTTAATACCATGAATAAGTCATTGTGTAAAGGAAAGCCGGTAGACAAGGACACGTGTGAAGAAATAATATGGTCTTTATATTTCAAGTCAGGTTATCTTGATTGGTATGTTTGGTTAGCGGAAACGTGCTTTCTGTCACATCTTCTCAGCTACTTCGTATTCCGATAGAACATTTTTCAAACGCTACAAGGTTTCCATGGTGTACATGTTGTAGTTAATTTTTTATCTCAGGTAATATTTATTTTTCTTCAGTTTCAACTTCCTGAACATACATTACCATACCCAGAAACAAAAGAAAAAGGAGAAAAAAAGTTAACTACAACATATACATTACGATTTTTTCCCCTCTCCTTAATCCAAACTTCAACCTAATGAAAGTCTATTCCTGATCTGTCAAGATAAACAAAAAAATGACAGCGACCTTGCATTCACCTCAAAATGCAAAATGACCATATTTGAAATTCAGACTAGCCTGGACATATGAACCCCCCTCCCTCCCCCTAGAGGACCTCAATATTCTGGATGTTCAGCTTTTGGGACATGCTGTGAGATAATTTGACTATGTTACCTAACATGTCCCTAAAAAAGACAGTCAGATTGCCTGACAACGGACAGCAATACCTATAGTTGAATTCCAGGAGTAATATTTTTAAACAGCCCGGCCATAAAACTCTGCATATTCGCTCACGCAAATCGCTTTCTATTGACACTTTCATAGACGACCTTTCTTGTGCTCCCTGGAGTACACTTGAGATGTTTAATGATCCAAGTGAAGCTATTGAACAATGGTATCTTTTGTTCAATAGTGTTCTAGACACACACGCACCTGTGAAGTCCCGTCGTGT